CCGAGTTGTTAAAGCAGGACGTTTTACTCCAGTTGAATTTTCACGTATAGCTCTGTTCCTGTTACGTATCAGTACCACGGCTGTCTGAGGAACATGGAGGAGGCTGCCTTTCTGCTTATATACCCTCACCACAACCAGGCTGAAAGTAGAGATGTCAGTTATCATTAATAGCAGCGGGCTGTGTGTGTGGATCCTAGTTATCTTAGCAGCAATAATATGATAAAGATGAAGCCTGGATTTGGCAGGCATAGCAGAAGAACGTGCTTTGTTTGAGGATGTGTCTTTTAAAACCATACAAAGAGGTGACAGGACTGTGGAGCAGAGCTGCATTTACTCAAAGCTGAAGTATGATAATTAGGAACTTACATTCTTGAACCAACTGTTTTTTAACTGCGAGGCAGTAAAATTCCATTTAAAATCTTAAAGCCGAAGAAGTGTCAAGGAGCAACTAAGGGTAAGAACGAGTACAGAATAAATGGCTTTTTCTGGTGGTGTGAAGTATTACTGATGTTTATATCCTCATTTTATACACGTGGGTGTGTGAAAAGAGAAAACTGTTTTTTCTAGTTTGTGTCACTGCTGTCTCTTTATTTTTTTAGGTTACTGTTAACGTTTTAAAATGCTGATGAAGACAGCCTTCTGTAGAATCCTTCTGCTGCCTTATGAATACAAAAGGGAATTCTAAACCAAGCTTTAGTACAAGGTATGTATTGTAAAATATTGGGATTTAGTGATTATTGAAATTGGGAGCTGGCTTTGTGTTCACACCTGCAGTTTGATGTAGTTCTGCTGTACTGTACTTGGCAGTTCCCTGTTGAATGTCATGAGGTTCATGTCAGCCATTTTCCCAGGCTGTCAAGGTCATCTTGGGATGACCCTCTGGTGTACCTGATTCCTGTCCCCTCATCTAGGTCATTAATAAAGATTTTGAGAATGACTGGCCCCAATGCTGACCTGGTGGCATACGCTGCTCATTGCTGGGATCCAAGTAGTCTTTATGCCACTGATCACAACCTTCTGGGCCTGCTCGGCCACTGCCCAGCCCGTGTCGCTGCTTACCCAGCCTGTGCTTCAGCTTGTCAGTGAGGGTGTTACAGCAGATAGCATCAAACCTTCCTCAAGTCACAGTAGGCAATATCCACTGCTTGCCCTGTATCCACTGAGCTGGTCACTCATCACAGAGGGCTGTCCCAACGAGCTGGTTAAGGCCTGACACATCACCCCTCTGTAAATGCATGCCAACTATTCCCAGTCATCTTCTTGTCTGTTCTGAGTGGCATTTCATCTCTTTCTCAAGGCTTTTCCCAGTTCCCTGTAGCCCCACTACTGAGACCAGGAGTGGTTTGCCTCAGGAGCCTCTCTGGCTGCAGCCTGGCAGTGGCACCAGCCCTCTCCCTTGTTCTGTGGTGTTGCTGTGCCCTTTGCTAAGAGGTTCCCTGTTACTTTCTAGGTGCTGCAAAATCACAGTCTCATGTACACCAGGCTAAGGAAAAAAGTGAAAAGCATTTAATTAGAAAATCTAAAAAGTAAAAAAGAAGAGAGTTTTCAGAAAAAGCGAAAACAGGAAAAGGTGAAGAAAACCACTTGATATATTTCTGCGAGGTCTAAGCCATCATTTTTTTCTCTGTCCAGCTGCCTTCTTGTCATGATGAAGTAGCTGTTGGGAACTCAGTCACCTTCCTTTCCCTCACACATGGGACTACCCTTGAGCAAAAAGGTTGTTTGAGAGCCTCAGTGCCGGGCACGTTTCCTGGGCACTTCAGCATCTTTCTGTGCTCAGCTTACGCTTCCTTCCTGCTAGGGGAAGAGAGGAAGGCCAGGGCTCCCTGGAGACAGATGTTTCTTTGGCTGAATAGTGACTCCTTGTCTCAGGGCAGCGATGAAGCCCTTTCCTTCTCTTTCTCTCACTGTTCATTTGTGTGGGTACCATTCAGATCGCAGTGTGAACCTAGCTGGCAAAGCATAGTGGTACAATTAAATGGCATTAAGAACTCAGACAAGATTAGATAAAATGTGAGTGATCACATGATATTTGAGGCATTGTGTGCAACAACAAACTTAAAGCAGTTGCTAAGACCATGAGTCGACCAGATCTTAAACACTTAAAATAATACAACTTACACCTGGTCAGTGAAAGATTTCATTCGGTTCTGCCATACCAGGAGGGGTGCCTGGCTCCGATTTAATTCCCAGGGAGGTCAGAATGCTGTCAGTGTGCCTTGTAATCCACATAACCTCAGCAGTGCTAGCTGGGATGAGCATTTCCAAGTCCTTTATCCAGCTGTATTTGCCAATGTGTTGCTCTGTAGCTTGCTATTTGAGTCCTGCTGGTTGCTGTACTTTGTTTGCAAAAGTGCTTTTTCAGGATTTTTTTTCTATAATTTCAGTATCTAATGCCTCAGGCTGAGCTACTTATTTACTAACAGTGTTCTTTATTGCATTAGGGTTGAAGGAAATCTTGTGGTGGCCGTACAGCCTTATCCTTGAAGAAGGCTGCATTGAATCCGTACAAGTTCATCTCTTCAAGTTACAACTTAAGAGATCACCTGAGGTGAGAAAAAAGTGATTTTCAGAATAATTGGAACAAACAACAGCGATGCTTGTGAGCTGTGATGACATCTCTTCCCCTTATGCTGGACCATCTGTCTCTTTTGTGTTCTTCCCCCTAGTCCTTGCTCTGTGTGCTTTTGGGCACAAGAACAATGCTGCTATCCAATAAAATAGCAATTAGAGCAGTGGCTCTTTGATCACTTTAGCTATCTCTGCTATTTAGCTTTCTCCTTTGGGCTGCATTCTTTGTGCTTGCAGACAGGACCAGTAGCCCTGCAAAACCAGCAGGCAGCAATGGGAAGTTTACCAGCACAGGACTGGGCAGAAGATACATCAGAAAAACAGCTGCTGGCAGCTCCTTGCACCTCCTTGCACAGGAAAGTCCAAACTGCTGGTACTGGGATGTTCAGTCTCTAGCATTCAGCTTTTAACGCTTTCTATAGCAGAGATGATGGCTGACAACTCAGATGTGTACCTGAGGTCTTGCCTTTCTTTTTACTGAGTGTACTGGGAACACTTTGTTTCTGGCCCTCCAGTACAAGTATTGCAAAAGGGTGCTCATAAAGGCTTCACAGCTGTACGTTCTGGAACAGGAACCACAGTAAGTCATATATTAAAGTATCATTTACATGACTGCATTTGAATTTAAAAACACTGATTCTGCTTAACTCCAAGGAGGATGATAACATTATTAAAGACTAAAATGTGCCAAAACAGAAATAACCATACTTTGCCATATATGAAGGAAAAACAGTGAATTTGTGTTGGAAGTTGCAGCATTCACACAGCACTGAAGCATTAGTTACCTGGAACACTCTGAGCCTGCAGCAACAGCCTGGAGTGAGCAACTGTTACCAGGAAGATCTGAAGTAGTTCTAAGGTTTCACCATCTATGCAGTTGAGTTGGATGATTAAAAAAAACTGTACTAACAGTTTATTAGAAGGAAAAACAATGAATAAAACAAAATGAAAAACGTGGTTTTTTTGATGCCATGAGGTTCCAACACCGCATTGTAATACAGCAGTGCTGTAGCTCTCCTTTTTTCAGAGTTTCTAATGAAACTCTTTCAAATCAACTTCCTGTTACTTGTGTATTGATTTTGTTTCCTGAACTCAAAGACAGTGAATGTGAACTGAGCAGCTGATGGGAACCTCTTAAGAGACAAAGCAAAGTCTTGTGGGCATAGAATAACTTACTGCAGTAGTGCAGCAACATCATGGAAACAAACTGAGGGTCATGATGGCCACAGGGTAAGGATGGAGACCACCAAAGACCCTGCAGAAAGACACCATGTTACCCACTAAGCTCCAGCACCTGTGAGAAGCCAGAGTGCAGCAGTGAGAGCAAATGAGTTCGTACCTTCAGAGCCCTGTATTGGTACTGCAGAGAGTAATCCCTGCTGCTCTGCTTTGCTAGTAAATAGCAAGAGAAGAAAAAAACAAACAAGTATGTCAAAAGTACTTCTGCCCAGTGCCTAAGGTGATTTTTATTGTAGCTGTCTCTTTACCCTTTGTCCACCAAAACTTCTCCCTTAGCAACTGGATAAAAAGGATGTAGTAAAATCATACAGAAGCCAGCACTGAACATTTTTCATATCTCTTCAGTAGGAACCTAAAACTTGAATCACCGTCAGAAGAGGAAGATGGCTGCAAAATCCATCCCTCAGTAACAGTGTTATGAATGCAGGTTTTCTTCCTCTTTTCTGTAAGCCTCCCTTCTGCACCTTGAGCTTGTCAAGACAGGAAGAAGTATTAAACCCAACAACAGCCCTAACAAACCAACACCACCCACCACCCTCAGTACCACCTCTGACAACTTACTTGCTATGTCAACCCTTGGAACAACATTTTGGTTAGACTGTACAGCAGTTCTGCACTGCTTTGAGATAATTACCCAGACACCTCTTCAGAACCTTTTTGGGCCCACCTGCACAGTCCTTCAGAGCTCAGCCCCCTCCCAGAGGCACACTGTACACATGCACTCCTAAGCACACAATGCAGGGACAGCCAAGGAAACAGTAACCACAGGAAAGCTGTCACTCCACCCTAAGGAAATGCTGAAGAACATCTCCTATCCACATTCATCTTCAGTGACCATTTCCTAATACCTACACTTTGAAATTCAGAAGAAAACCAGCAGCTGCTGGTAGGGACGGTCCTGATTCTCAGCCAGTGCTTTCTGTGCACTGCAGTGTTTATGCATAGGAGAGGGAGGTATCGCAGGTTTCAGAGAGACAAAAATCTATTCTAAATTCAGACTTGTTAACACATCCATCAATCTGCTTGATTGACTACCTTGAATGACACCAGAAATGAGCATATCATGGTGCTGGTGTAGTTTTACACAGAAAATGTAACGTTCCACAGAACTGAGATAGATGATAGTGTGCTTCGTTACTAAGATGTGGCATCTCTTAGTATCAAAGTTTTAAACTTTCAAGAACCAGAACTTAAAAGTGGTAAGCTGAAAGTTTTAATATAAAGTCACAGTTCTTAAAAGGGTACAACTGAGTGCTCACCATCAAAATGGTGCAAATACATTATTTATCCCCAATAGTTTCTTAAGCAATATAGGCACATAGTGTCATGTAAACTACTTGTGGCAACCAGAACAGCAAAGGCACAATCTTTCTTTCCTTCACTTTTCAAGATGTTGTTTAATTTACAAAGAAAAATACTTCAGGCAGAAGTATTACATTTCTATGTTACAGCACAGAACCATTGCAGAACTGCTGTCATCTGATAAAATGGTCACTTACTTAGAGAAATAAAAAGACAGATAGCAGCTCTTTGCACACAGGATCTGAGTTCTGAATGAGGGCAGAACCTGTTCTCAGCAGTCAGGATGAGAACATCTGAACTCCTCTGTACCTTTTAGCCACCTAGGAAAGCATTGCCCACAGTTAAGGTAGCAGTTAACACATCTTCTGGTTTGCTAGTTCCAGCTATTTGTTTTCTCACATGCCACTTGACTAACAACTCCAAAGTTAAGATGCCTGTATAACTATCAGTTGCTTCTCTAACACAAGATTAGTTTTAAAGCACTGATGTAACTAGGAATCCAACCACAGTGCTCTACTCATTGAGCCTATCTGGACGTCCCTGTTCACTCCTGCAGACCTAACTGTCTGTTCAAAGGGAATCACGCAGGGCTTTCACACAGGCAATTGCTCCTGCTCTCCCACCAGGAAGCAACTGCAGGAAGAGTTTCAAACCAGAATGTGATCCCCAGCAGTTCATGCTTAAGTGATGCAGTGGCTTTCAGGTGTAATTCCTGCCCACTGCTCTGAGAATACAACAGTCCTGCATTTTACACTGAAACATTTCAGTTATTTGAGTAAGTAGAAAATTGTAGTTTACAAATGAAAAAGATCCTTCTATTTAAAAAAAAACAAGACATTTCATTTAGTTACCTTAAATAGTTCTTGTGTGCACCATTCCACATTGTGGAAAAGCTGAAATATGCAGTCTGGACTCAACAAGTTAAAGAAAGACAGCATTGTATGTATTGGCACAAATACTTACATCTATGTCTGTACAAATCAAAAAAGAGCTGACAACCCTGTCCCAACCAGCACAGTGTATTCAGCTGCTCTCCAACACGTACTTTCCTGTATGACTGCCAACAAACAACATGAAGATGGGAACTTGGGACTAAGAGTGTGGTGCCAAAAAGTTCCAAACTGCTTTGTCAGTCTCTGAACAGAGGACTCAGAAGTATATCCCAGAGGTGTCAGGCCGCTCAACAGGCTCGCAGCTGTGAGGTCACTGCAGCTGTACTCTGTATGCTCCTATTAGCAGCTTCACCTGTAAAAGCAAACACAGGTTTGACATGAAGATGGGAGCATCCAACAAACCACACAGCATGTTTAACTGCAAGCACACAGATTACAGGAGGTATAGCACAGCAGATCACAGAATCATAGAATGGTCTGCGTGAAAAGGACCTCAATGATCATCAAGTTTCAACCCCCTGCTACGTGCAGGGTCACCAACCACCAGACCAGGCTGCCCAGAGCCACATCCAGCCTGGCCTTGAATGCCTCCAGGGATGGGGCATCAGATCAGCGTACACAAGTGAAAGCATTTTGTACCTTGGCTGTAGGAGCTTCTGCTAGCCGGATAAAAAGCTTGTTAAGGCCTGCAGTTGGGCTGAAGGAATAAATAAAGTGACTGTCCTAAAAGAGAATTGATAAAGTTAATGGCAGGATATGGTCCAAAGTGCCGTGTGGGTCAAAGAATATGACAAACTACAGTTGCTTTTAGGCAAATTTAAATAAATATATATATGTATATTTTATATAAATTTAAATACATATATATATATTTAAAAGTTGTGTACATTGCAGAGAACTTTTAGTGCAATCTGAATCACAGAGAAAACAAGAGGACTTCAGTGTGTGGACAGTGATACATTTAATAGAAAAAAACAATAAATTTACATGACTCATAAATGAGAAAGGTCATTGAAATGATTACACTAAAGAATTTGTGTTAAAAGGCAGAGAAGCAAGGTGAGCTGGGGAAAGGATACTCCTTCAGGTGCTGAATTCTCACCTCTCTGCCCAAAGCCTCAGCTCTGGCATCACGCAGTCACAGGATAGCAAGGCCCTCTGCCTCCCCCTGGCCCAACCTGGGCTCCAGCATAGACACACAGAGCAGTGGGCCCACAGCTGCAGCCCTGCCTTTTATTTAACTCTATGGAATCTACTGCCTACAGGCTGTGCACTCCTCTCCATGTAAAATATATATTAAGTTTCATTTCAAAATTAAAAGACACCACTGTAGTACTCAAAATCCAACTCTAACATCTAGCTCTAATATCTGCCAGGCTGTTCTGCGGACAGTTTTACAGCCAATTAGTCATATGAAAAATACTTACCAAAAATACAGGGAGCTGGAATTTGTCATTTAAAACCACAGCTTGTACACTGCATGGTCCACAGAGCCGAGCAACGACTTCTTTACCGAAGAAATTTGCATGGAAAATAAAGAGAAGAATTCCAGATCCTAGAAGGGAAGGCAGTTCAGTCACACAAAGCTGAAACGGGATCCATGATTTAGAACAATTGCAAACACCAAACTTCTGAATGCAAGCAGCGAGGTACCTTTAGTGTCTGCGTAAATATTAAGCTCCAAAGGAGCATCAAAGCAATATGTAGAAAGAAATCCAATCTCCCAAGCCAGTGAGCCCAAGCAGAGAACACAACTGAGCTGCTCACAAGGCTGAGGGGTTTTGGCAGCAAAATAAACCTTATGTAGGGATCAGAGAGGAAAGCAAAACAGATGCATCTGTAGTTTGGGAACATTGTGTACTTTGGCTTATCTTTTCTCTTGGTAGGGAGTGCTAAGCTCAGTTAAGTATGGGTGTTTATGAACTGTGCTGAAATTTAGGAAGCAACAGTATTCAATAGATACAAGTACCCCATTTTAGTATGTAAATTTATATAATGCTTCCTAATTCAGTAAAGTGTATCAAAAAAATGAGAAGATGTTTACATCTCTGAATAAACTGAATAAACCAAATAAAAACTGGACAAACACCTCAAAATCCCAGTTTAAGCAGTATTTCACCCACATTGCATGAAAATATTACTCCTGCATTCCACAGCCTGAATATAGGGAGCACCGTTAATATCACGTACTGTATTACAACGTGTCGTGCATTTCATACAGCAGATAATTAAAGGGCAGATTCTCAATGCACTATTTTCTATTTTGCTTTTTTTTTTTTTTTTTTAAAGTACAGACAAGCAGAACCAACCCAAGATCCCTACCTTCTGGCACGTTCTGTGGGGGTTTATAGTTGAAGTCTGTGGAGAAGTCCGGCCCTTCACAGAGACGGTGACAAGCAATTGGGAAGACTGGCTCCAGCAAAACAAGGCGAGCTTCAAAATAGTCCCTGATGGTATCTTCTGCTACTCTTGAGAGTCTACATGAGGAAACAAGCGAGGCCTGTACTTCACACAGAACCATTACTTCAGCAGACAGTCTTGAAGAGAGATTACACAAAGAACGATTCTGGATCTCCTTTCTGCATTCCCAGTTGTCAGGACTTTATCACCTACATTTATGCACAGATGAGCCCCAGGTCCAGACATTTTGTTAATAAAACATTTTCTCAGAGACCTGTTTGTGAAATTCCATCTGTCAGACCTCAGCGTTTTACTTTTGTGGACAAGGACACTACAGCAGACACCAGAAGTCTCAGTAACCACATACTTCCTTATGTAGAAAGGTGTTGCTGGAACACCAGTAGGCACCGCTGGCTGAATGGGAACGGGTGACTGCTTCCCCCCAGTAAAGTGACTGCAAGTACAGGGTAGAACAAATCACTCTTTTTACTGGTTGTGCTATTAGTGTAATGCAATTCCCAAATTAAGCTTTGTTAAAACCACAGATCAATAAGGTTGGAAAGGACTGCTAAGATCATCTAGTGCAACTGTCAGCCTATCACCACCATGCTCACTAACCACAACCCTAAAAAAAGCAACAGTTCCATCATTCAGATAGTTTGGGATGTGGAGGCTATTTGGCAGGGTAGGGGGGCTGCCTGTACAAGCAGCCGACATTTCACTGGTAAAGTTATACGTTCAAGATCTTACAAAACACATTTGGTGGCAAATTTTAAATAGCAGATGAACTGGAGAAAGCATCAAACAGTGAATGAAAGAAAGATTAAGTTCACTGAACAGCACATGCCAAACTTTATCTGCATACTTCCTGTTGCCTTCAAAAACCCAACTGAACACGTGTTACAGTTGGTGTTACAGCTACAAAGATTATCGTGGTGAAAATGGGAAAAGAAACAGGGAAGGAGCGCTCACCCGTATCCACAGATCTAGGTTTGTAGGAAAGACCCCACAGAGGAGGGATCTGCAGAAAGAGACCCTTCCCCAGTGGCAGTCAGCCCTTAAACGGAGTATAGGAGAGGTGCAGCCAGGCTCCACCGCTTCCTTCACCTGTGCTCCCATGGCTGACCCGCTCCTTTCCTCCGGTCATCAATCAGTGGTTCAGGCCATGACTCAACAGCTCCCATACAACATACCGGGATTTCCTTCTTAGAAGGTAGGGAAGAACTGGCATACTCCATACTTTCCATACTTTCTCCCCCAAACCTCTCCCCCTTCCCCAGCTTAACCCAAGATGATTACACGCACAGTTAATTCACACTTCCCCACGCCAAACTTCCAAGTAGAGTTTACTCACGTTTCCAAATGACTCTTGAGCTGTTCGTACACCAGGACATTGTTAGACTGCTTAGCAAAATGCAGTGCACTGTTCTGATGCTTTGACAAGATGTTACAGTCCGCTCCGCTTTCAATCATAAGTCGCACAATGTCCGAATTTCCTCTTTTACATGCCTGTGCCAAGCAACAAGGGAGAATGGACAACACCACAAATCCCATTAAAGAGGAGCACGACACTGAAGAAAGCAGAACTGCAGAAACACACTTCAATCCAAAGTTCAGTTACAACTCAGAAAACAAGTGTAAGCAATCACCAGGTGAATGGTAACAAATCACAATGCACCTGGTCCCACAGAAGCAACACTGGGGTGACCAAATGGACTTAGTTTAAAAGAAAACTGAGTTCTTTGGAAAGATCTAATCTGCAAGGTTACACTACCTATAAACTGGTCTGAATAAATGGATTTCTGTAGAAGCATTCAGAATGACTGAAGGAACACTTCCAAGTGTCTGTTTCTAGGAATTTCAGTATAAATGTTACTTCAGAAAAGGAATGGAATTTGCCTCACATTGTCACTTTGTTAGACAGTCACTGTATCAACTGCACGCATGCCCAAAGCTGTCAGCATTACCTACAGCAAGAATGCCCAGGTGTTCAGGTGAAGACTTGAAAAAGGCACTGGAAAATCTACAGAAAGCTTTGTTTTGAAGAATGCAAGCATGCTCTTTACTGCTTTCCAAGTACCTCAATACAGAATATCCTTATTAAGCCTTTCTGAAGTCATCAACTGCCATTTGTTTGAGACCTGAACTTTCATCTGTACTTTTTCAATCCATAATCTTCCATCAGCAAACAAAACCAAAACCAACATTCGCCCTTAACAGATAAAACAAGAAGAAAAAAAGAGGAACTGTTGAGACTTTTCCCCCTCTTTTTAGAGGTAAGAACCAACTCCTACAGTTAAGTAAGAGTGTCCTGATAAATGCAATGGTATGTTTATTGAGACACAGCTAAACCTGTTCTAGAAAATTACTGGAAACGAAGATGCTACTCTTCATATCTGCATGGCAAAAGAAATAAGTGCAGTAAGGCTCCATGGGCTCCAATGAGAGGGCATCAAACACTAAGAAAATACCCTTGAAAAACTATGAAGGTCAAAACTGAGGTTCATGGAGGTGGTCAAATAATGGAGAGATTTTGGACGTCAGTGACAGAGGAAACCACAAGTGCGTCACTGTTTTCTGACAGAAGACGTGAATTCCCTCAGCCTTGGGCAGGTTAACAGAGAAATAACACCACAACGTCTGGAACAGAAGAGTTCTTGTAATCTCTGCTGTACACAAACTGCCTTAAACAGCCTTCAAAAAACACAGCAAGTTCACCAGGAACACCAAACTTTGGCGGAATTAATGGATATAAACCAAAAACCTATTAAGAAGGGCACAGACTGCTTTAAGGGTCTTAGAATTTTCCCATTACAATAAAATAAAAAGCAACCATGACAACCAACCAACTGACAATGACAGAACACCATTCTCCTGCGAAGACAGAGGCCAATCACAGTATATTCCAGTGGGTTTTGTCTCTGCAGTTTTTATTTTCCTGCTGACAGACATTATTTCACTTTCAGGACTATCTCCACATTTCTTTGACCCAAGCAGCAGAAGAAACCAAACCACACTTAACCCTGCATTGCACTGTTGAGATACAACAGTAAGTTAGAAAAAAACAAACTACTAGAACATTGCCTCATGTAAGTGAGAGCAGTACTTGTATTTCAAATGTAGTACACCTCCCAGCTAAATCAATTCTGAAAATAAACTTCTGTCTTCTATACACTATTAATAATCAACATCACTGGCAAACTAAATCACATGAGGATAAATAACTGTTTACCTTCATTAACGCAGTTTCACCGCTGCTCTGCTGCATGTTCACAAATGCTCCAGCCTCCAGAAGAATAGCTACTGTTGTTAGAAAATTCTTTAAGAAAAAAAAAAACAACAAACAAAACCACAAGATAAGTAGGTGTAACATATTTAGTTTTCATTTTAAAATACAAGCACAATGCATGTCAGAATTGATGCTGTTCTCTTTCATTGCTCATAAAGATGAATTCAGACTGGGGCAAAAGCCACATGCATTTACAATTCTTACTTTTTACTTAACCTTGTAATAACAAACACCCCAGGGGAAAAGACCCAAACCCAAACAGTATGTCTGCATTAATCGCCAAACAGGAATCAAGTTCCCTTTTGGCCACAAAGCTCCTCTACCTGGGAAAGTAAGTGAACTGACTTGAAACCACCAAACATCCTTTAACGTAGCAGTCAAGTCAAGCAGGCCTTAGACTAAGCAGAGAGTGTCCCTACCTCTATTCCCTTGCTCTCAATTAGCAAACTCTGCTTAATCAGAGAGTTGGTCTCCAAGTTTCAGAAGTCTGGATCCTGCCTATCCAAAGAAAACAAGCAATTCTACTGCAAGAACTTCAGCCCCATGAAAGAGAAATTTAGAGATAGCCCTTGCATCACCTTTCCTTCCAAGCTGCCCTGTGACATTCCCTATATAGACAGGCTTTACTATCACCTACAGATTTAGCCTACAGTAACCACAGCCACCAATACTATGCAGAGATGGTCAACATCCTGCTGTATCCTGCTAATTATTTAAGGATCGCCCACGGGAGGTGGAAAAAACAGGATACCACTTTTAATTTAAACAAAAGAGTCAAGAACTACAAATACGACAGTGACCGACCCAACCTTTTCAGCTGCGTGTATCAATGCAGTTGTTCCATTTTTCTGCCTGCCATTAACTTTAGCTCCCTTCCTGATTAGGACCCGGAGGAGATCGTCATGCCCACCAGCAGCAGCAAGCATTACTAGAGTCATTCCACTGGAATCCTGCAACAACATCAATCATCACCATAAAAATCAAATATCTGAAGACAGATCACAGCTGCAAAGAATGCAAACACAGCAACAGGTTTCACAAGATTCTCCTCCCCTCTTCACACACGCACAGCTGCCAGACACTGACAAACTGTCATCACCACAGACTCCTCTCACTCACAAACATCACACTGAGCTCCAGAAATACAAAGGAAATCAGAATGAGCCAGAATAAGAGGCAGCAAGGTATGCAGCAGCAGGGAAAAGAGCGAGACAGTGGAGAAAGAAACTGGCAAATGCTGGAGAAAAAGCGCAAGGGCCCGAGCCAGCTGCACAGCACTGCTTTTGGATTAAACCTGAGTGAAAATATGAAGAGATTTCTGGGAGCAGCCACTCTCCCCTCACTCGCTTTTACATTTCCACCACACACTACAATTCAAAAAGCACATGCTTGCCTCAACACTTCACTCAGCATCTTCTGTTCTACCATGCAACAGAAGTTCTAGCATGATGAACAGTCCTTAAAATCTTCAATTCTCAAAAATGGGCAAATTTGGTGCAAGGTGCTTCTATGAAAATTCACTTCTTTCAAGGAAATAGGGAACAAATACTGATGCCTTTTCTTTTGTGTTCCTCTTTCACCCACTGTGCTTTCTGCATTAAATCTGCTACTGGTCAGCAAGAGAGAACTTCTCAAACAGTCCAAATTTGTACACTCCCCCACTCAGTAACTCTATTATGGAAAAGTTACCTCTTGATCCAGATTATATTCCTCGCTTGAAGAAAGTGCCATCTTTACTGTCATATAATCTCCACTTTTGACAGCATCCCTCAGGAGTGCTAGAAAATAAATTTAATGCAGGTGAAGCACATCTCACTTTGAGATGCTGGAAAGTCCAGTCCTCCCAACAACTACTTACTACTGGATACTGGTTCTGCTGAGATGTGATTCTCATCTTCTCCATCGAGATGCTTCTGAAAGTCTTCTAGTGTTAGCCATTCTAACTGCATATCCATACCCAAACTCAAAACTTGCTGCTTGCCATCTATCATATTTATAAAAGAAAACAATAAAATAAGTAACAACTTACAAATTATGAAATCATTCACTGCTTGCCATTACTTCAGCAGTCAGCAGCACAACATACTATTTTTCATTCAAACAGACTTTGGAACCCAACATGAAATGATTCCAAACAATGAAAGCTGTGTTGCAAGCACAAAAAAGGCTTTTACTTGAAAGAAGCCACTTGTTTGTTCCACATTAGGCTAAAGCGATCAGAGATGGCAAACACTGCATAACTGTAACAGCAGAAATATACCAGGAACACGCTGATAGGCTCAAAAATTAGCAAGAGTTTCAAAAGAAAATACTGATTCAGCCTCCTGGTAAGTAAGAACTGGAGCATTAAAAGATGCAAGCAGGAACGGAGTTAGTATTAAATGCAAGCGCTCATCTTTCTCCTAGGTTTGGTTCTGCAGCTCACCAGAGTTCTCCATCTGACACACATCCACTGCTTCTCGACCACCTCCTGCAGCAACGTAATTCCATGTTTCTGCTTCATCTTTTATCCTCCTCTCCTTGTGCACTTTGCTGTCTTTTAATTTTAATTCTTCTATGAATTTACATTCTAGTGAGGGTTCTTCTCTTTTGCAGTTATTCTCAGAGCATTCCTTTTTTTCTTCTGAAGCTACATTACACATGTCAAGTGCACTTTTGATGTCCTTATAGCCTAGAACATTAAGACAGTTACCAAGAATGACTTCTTGAGCCACTAAAGGCTTTTACATAACAAAGTTTAAATAAGTGACCAGAGTCCATTTAGTAAAGATCTATTCTCTCTTCCTAAGTTAATCACTGCTGAAGCACAGGAGCAAGCTTAACAAAAAAGCCAAAATTGGGGACAGCTAGTTCACCTTCAGTGACCTTGGTAAGTCTGGGCTCTGACTGCTTTCTACTTAGTATTACCTTCTTAAGAAATTTAATTTAGAATTATGCATTACCTCTTTGAAAAAATGTTCCAGTACTGGTGACAACCAAAGAACACGTGCTCTATACAGAGCAGGAATTAATCATCTGCTGGCTACTTTTCTTGAGCTGTTAGCATCTACCGTCCTTTAAGTGAAAGCTGTTTCTCTGCCAATAGCTTTTGAAGCACCACAGCTCTTCCTATGCCCATTCAGAATGCCAAAAGGAGAAAATTCACTCAGAATTTTCCTGAGATCAAGAGTGCTAACATTAATACCCCATCACACAACTAAGAACAGAAGCCCAACCCAGACCTTTCATGTTTCAAGTCAGCTTGTTGTGTTTTTTTAAGGCTTGTACAGTAACCCACTACAGTGGCTAAAGCAAGAGGCATAAAGTTTGCCTGAAGTGAACCTCTACCAGCTAACTCCAGAAATACAAAGTGTGTATTTATAATGATATCAAAATGCTTCTGGAAATAGACAATAGTTGGATGAATTCACCCCCAAAAGACCGTTGTCACTGGTGTGATAAAGTGACGTAGTTAACAATACTAAATGAAAAAGGGCAAAATCTTGACTTGTCTATAAAAACATTACAGGCATTACAAACTTTCATGCCTCAGGCAGCCTTCTCACAAAGCCATAAAAAAGCTGGCTTTCATTTCTTAAAAGACACTGCTTTTCTAGCATGTATTAGAAATGCTGCTCTGTATCTGCCCTTATAGGAATAAGAGGAGAATGCCTTGAAAGGTGCTCCTTTTCTCTTTTCAGCAATTAACACTTACTTTTTAGGACCTTCTGTTCTTTTCTGCTCTTTTCTTCTTTTTCAGACTCTTTTTTTACTGCTTTTTCTTTCATTTCAGTTTTCTTTATTTCTTTCTCCTGTTATTAAGAAAAAGGATCAAATGTGAGCGGTATGGAGAAAGTGGAAAATAACACTACTGAAATCTTACAGACAACAGACTCACAGACACAATCCTAAGAAAAGAATTAAATGGGTGAGACAGGAGCTGCTCTGGGAAGCCTTCTTCACTACGAGGAAAAGATCTTCCAAATCAGGGAACTTCAGTTTGAGTTCCGTAGCATGCCAGCCACGTGAGGCACTCACACATATCAAAACCAGCATACATGTACAATTGCTGTGTTACCATTTCCTAAAAATGACACATAGCAAAGACAAAACACACCAGGAAACCACTGTATTTAATATTCCGAGTCTGAAATGTTAGCTGGTGTGTCATTCACATCCAAAGCAAGCAGAAACCAGAACCCTCCCTTAGAAGTGTTCTCTCTACTAAAACTGAGATACGACAGCTGAAATCCCAAGGTACCAAATAAGGAGACTACAACTCAAAGAGGCACAAATAAACACTCAAGTCCTTAAGTGATCACAGAATCACTGATGCCACCATTTCTTAGAAAGGTAAAAAACTAAATGAATTCAGTACATCATGAAGCCTTCCTTCTCTCCCCTCAAAACTCTGCCTTTGGGTGACAGACATCATTCCAGGCAGGTGCCCATAGTAGGAGCAAACAAGTGACAAGATTACCAGACACTGCTAAGCACAAGGGCTGTTAAAAAACGTGAGTTCTGTTCCAGATTTCCTGATGTTGATGAGATGCACAGTGTACCTACACGTTTATTTTTAGAAGGTAAATCACAGGGAAGAAAGGGTTCATCATACAAAATGACTCCAAACAGAGAATACTGTACCACAGATTGACATGACAGTGTTCTGTAATCAGAGAAGAGTCAGGCAGCTGAAACAAAGGCCGTGCTTTACTTTCAAGAGAACAATATGCTGGGCCCAAAACTTCATGACACACAGCAAACCCCAAAGCTGTGCCCTGAGCCCACACACGCAGAGTCCCACAGGTGCTGTGGGCAGATGCAGGCACCACCACTTCAGCATGCAGGAGATGGACGGCAAAAAGCAGAATGCCTTCCAAGCTACACCTCGTGAGGGTGCTGGCTGAAGAGCAGTAAGAAAATCAACCTTCCCCCTGCTGCTGATTTCTTCATATTTGTGGTGACGGGGTTTGTACACTGTTGGTAATGAACAGAATTCCGAGGATGTATGTGATTATCTGATGCTGCTCTCTTATGAATGCTATGGCCTCAAACTATGAGAAAATACTTGGAGTAATGAAGAGCCATGCCATTTCAGTTAGTTACAACTGCAAAGAAAATGAGCTAAATAGCTGTGTGAAACCAGCTATGCCCCACAGCTATTGCTTAACCTTGTTTAGAAGAGCTTTCACCACTAAGCTCCCACAAAGAGTACTTTGTGTAGCTCAGCTCTGAGGTTACTCCATGCAGTATTGCTATTCTCTGTCCAAAACAAATCAACGTGCTTATGTTAAGGTGCCTACCCCATACAGACAACAGTCTCAGAGGACTGCAGCTGAACCTACAAAAGAAGACACTTGTCACCACAGAATTATGGCCTCAGAAGCAGTGGGACATAATCCAATAAGCACCAGGGTACCGTGGCTGCAGCCCAGTTACAAATCAGGAAGGAGTTTCTCCGGGCAGCCAATGATTCTTCTTTACAAACTACAAACTGTATCAGAATAGCCTAAAGAAGCTGAAAAATATATTCTCCAAAAGCAGATTTTCCTCATAAACATTCTAGAGATACTCCTTTATTCTTCACATACACAATTACATTTTAAAAAAAATATTTTATCTTCTTGTTTTCCTTAAAATATTACTGCATTAAATAGCAGAAATTAAATAGTATATGAGTATTTGATCAGCTCATCTGCTAGAAGGGACACAGCATTTGTAATTAATGTGTCACCAAGTTGGGCAACTCAGAATCTCCTGAAAGCAGCACAGGAATTCCAACAAGACAAGGCAAGCTGGGCAATTATCTGGGAGATCACAGAAAGGCTTGGGTTGGAAGGACCTCGAGGATCATCAAGCTCCAGCTCCCTGCCGCAGGCAGGGCCACCAATTTGGGCTTAGGAGCAATTTCAGCATTCCAGTTCTTCTGAAGCCACTAACACACCCAGTCTAACCAAGAGGCTGGCTTCTGAGAGAAATCAAGAGCAGAAGTATACTCCACTGAGCAGTTGGATAGCTTCTAGATGACTGAATGCCTTACTATGCAAGCAGACAAAAGCCAAACTGAGGCAGCTGTCAAAGGTGGGAGAAACAGGAGGCTAAAAAGGACAACATGCATCTGTGGAACAGAAGTTTTCATTTTAAGTACATACACATAGCAAAGGAGAGATTCACATTTTCATACCTAAAAGACACTCCTCTGTCCCAAAGCACTCCCCTCTTCTAGTGTTCAAAATCCAGTTCTTCCATCCTGCCTGTAGACCCTGCAGTGCACCTTTCATTTGCTTTATCCATCCATTAACCTTCAGACTCATATATCTCCATTTGCCATCATAAACAGCAGCCTTTTCAGGCACCTCTGCCTGAGCTGTGTTTGATCTGAACCCCCTCCCAGCGCTCCCCAATGCCCTCATACTGCTCACCTCCTCTCCTGCCTCCATGGATTTGCGCCCTGTCTCCTCAGCGCTCACCTTTACAGCCTTCTGTGCCAACATGGGCGCAGCTGACACTTTCTCCAACTCTGCAGCCACCACTTTCACTTTTTCTTGACTTTTCTGCTTTTTGAGCACGCTTTTCTTCTCCAAACCCGTATCTTTGATTTCCACTTTTCTACCCTCCTCTTTGTAATCTTCCATTTTCTGATTTTTCTTCTTCTTTCTTTTAGCCTTAACCTCCACACTATCATCTTCATTACTTGCTGATCCATCAAGCTGTCTGTCAGCAATGCAGTCTTTTTCAGCAATTTCTTCTTCCGACCTCTCTTTTTCACACTTTACTTGTTGTTCCTCCTCTTTATTTTCAGAGCATAAGGGTGGATTTTCATTATCAACCTCCTGAAAAAGTGCATCGTCTGAAGTACTCGGCTCTGTGTCAAACTGAGCATCTCCTTGCTTCTCCTTCCGTGATTTTTTACTTTCTTTACAATCTTCTTTAGTTTTTATTTTTACATCTTTAACTTCCCCCTTCTTTTTCTTTACTTCTTTAGTATCTTCTTTCCTTTGCTTCTTTGGATCCTTTGAATCTTCCTTTGTTTCTGAAGTCCTTTTTTTGGGTTTTGAATCCAACCCCAAAGTATCTGAGGAAAGTTCACATTCTACCCTGGGTTTCTCTTTGACTTTTGCAGACTTTGACTTTTTCTTCTTCAGGTCATCCACACTTCTATCTTCTCCTTCTCTTGACTTTTTCTTTTTCTTCTTTGGTGAAACATCCTCTTTTGTTTCGCTTTGCCCATCATTATCAGATTCTGCTTCAAACACATCATCATCTAGAGAAAATTTCTAAAATGTAGGGGGGGGGAAAAAAAAGAAAATATTTACTTCCCCATTAAACTGTATTGCCTGAATGCCTGAATGCAAGCTGTACAAAAATGGCAGTGCTTGTGTGTGGGAAAAGAGAACTGTTTCTAAACATCCCTTGCAGCCAAAACACAAAGTTTGTAAGCACAATTCTAACTCATTTTCTTACATTACATCACATTACTGGCTACCTGAAAGAGAATCAACATCCAAAGAAGCAAAGCAAACCAACTGGATGCCCAGCAGCTCAATTCCAGAACCAAACTAAATTTCAACTCTTTTACACCAAAACCAGTTGCCTTGATTTTGCAAAATTTACGTATAGATTTCTCACAAACAAGGTACCAGCTTTCAAAAATGGTTCTCACATAGGATTTCGAAAATGACTGAGCAGTTAAACAGAAACAAACAAGGGAAAATTGCCTTCCTTCAATAGAGTTGTCTCTATTTTTCTTATCTGATGAATTACTGCTTTTTAACCATAAAGTTAATCTGCTTCAAGAAGGAAGATGAAAACAGCAGACCCAGCTTCAGTGCTAATAAGCCTGTGAGCAGGAAAAGGAGTTTGCTTTTGTTGTCAAAAAATAACTAAAATAACCATACATCATCATCTCAGTTTCTAATGAAGCCATATTAAATTTGCCATATTAAATGGATTCAGACTCAACAATTTTGAATTGTCAATTTGAAAAAGCTCCTTAACCACACAACAGCAATAATAGCTGAGGTCTGCTGGAAGAAAAAGCTCTCAGATCAAAGATCATCCAAGTCATCACTTCCATATCCCAAACATCCTGCTCTCCCATGCCGGCCATTAGAAGAGCCCAGGCAGGCAGTTTGTCTTCTACCGAGGACGACAGCAGGAGAAACACACCTGAAAGTCCTTTTTCAAAGGCTTTGGCTTGGTGTCCACCAGCTTTCTTCTGAATTCAAGCAGCACCTCTTTGCAGTCTTCCAGATGAACCTCTGGTTCCCAGGTATCGTCATCAGAGGTATAGCCCTTCCACCGGACTTTGTACAGAATTACACCCTGTAAGAAAAGAACCAAACACTGAACACGTTACAGCACAGCATTACTCCGTCCACTCAATTCCTGTGCCTTCTCTTTGGTGAAGAGGAGGATTTCAAACCTTAACATTTGTAATACAGCAGCACTCAGCTCTAAATTGGAATTTATAATCTGTTTGATTCACAATCAATGCCACTTTTGATAAACTGCAGTACCAACAGTGAGAAATGAGAGCCCTTCAATGAGATCAAGTCAAATGTAGATTTAGACAAAACTTGAGTACTTGCATCTCTGAGTTACAAACTTATTGGTAAAAGACTGTAATTGCAGCCCTAGATCAATTCTTTCAACAGTATCTGAACTGTCATCGTGGTTTCATCCTAAGTAATTTCACCAGAATAGAAGTCTGTTAGCATTAAGGGGAGAAAAAAGGAAAAAAAAGGAGAAAAAAAAAAAAGATGGGGGTAATGAGGAAAGCTTTTCACTAAACTATCTCTTGATTTTCTCCTAAATAAACCGAACGGCCCAAATCTCCCATTCCTCAGGGTGAACTCCTTCCTCTGCTGAGATGCCAGGCTTTAGGCCTGCTGGGCGCACAGCCTATCACAGCCAGGCATCAGCGCTCTGTGCCTTCTGCAGCAGCCTTCACTGAATGGCAGAGATGCACCTTATGGAGTCAGTGTGGTCACCTTCCTGCACTGACCATGCAGCCTCGTTCAACAGAGGTATGACAGCAACCAGCAGCAAAGTTCAGAAGATAAATCTGTTTTCCATTAAACATGTAATAGTAAACACAAGGTAGCAAAACCATCCCAGAACTTATTTTCTAAAAAGAAATTATCCTAAGTGTTAACCAGAATGCCTCTGGAGAAGCGTAAGAACAGTGCCTTTGGCTCACTGAAGAACAGAGTCAACGTTCCCCAAATCCAGGGGGAATGTCACCCTGCACCTTGCAGCTTGTCCCTTCAGTGGGATTTTAATGCAGTACAGCAGCTTTTGAAACACTCGGAATTTCTGTTGCTATTTTCCTGGATCAGGACAAGCCCATGTTCACCTGCCAGCAGGCAGCTCCCCAGCACAGACTCATCCCCAGAGCGCTGTCTCTCCCACCCGCCCATCACTGCCAGGCACAGAGTATCAGCAGGGGAACTGACAGGAGCTTCTCTATGCAGCGCCCTTCAGTTCCCACAGCTGCAGATGTAGCATGGGAGCCCAGAGCCTGTCTTGACAGCTCTGTGCATCTGTTCCAGCTTTGAAAAGCACCTGAAAAGCATCAGCCTAAAGCTGACTGCACATACTACACCCCATCAAATGCAGCATACAGCTTTTTCCATTCCTTTCAGGCTTGAATGATTACCTGCCATGCCCTGCATGTCTGTAGCACAGGAGCACAGCGAGAGCCCCATTTGAGAGCCACAGAAAGGGTCTGGAGCAACCACAGCCCCCAGGACCAACACACGTTGGGCAAATAAATGTCCTGTGTAGCCACGTGCTCCAACCTCATGTGCACAGAGCAGCTGCCGCTGGCCTGTACACAGCACAGATTGATCTAGGAGATGTTACTCAGTATATACACAGAATCACAGAATTGTTTGAGTTGGAGGGGACCCTCTAAAGGCCATCTAAACCAACCCCCCTGCAACAAACAGGGACACCTACAGCTCCATCAGGCTGCTCAGAGCCCTGTCCAGCCCAACCCTGAACATCTCCATGGATCCACCACCTCTCCGGGCAACCTGTGCCAGCGCCTCACCACCCTTATTGTAGAAAACTTCCTTTTATCTAATCTACATCTCCTCTCTTTTAGTTTGAAACCATTTCCCCATGTCCTATCACTACAGACCCTGCTAAAGTCTGTCCTGTTTTTTATTGTATCTTCCCTTTAGATACTGAAAGGCTCCTCTCAGGTCACCCTGGAGACTTCTCCAGGCTGAACAGCCCCAGCTCTCTCAGCCCATCCTCATAGGGGAGGTGTTCCATCCCTTGGATCATTTTTTGGCCCTCCTCTGGATGTGCCCCAACAGGTCCATGTCTCTCCTGTACTGAGGACTCCACTTCTGGACGCAGTACTGCAGGTGAGGCCTCATCAGCACAGAGCAGAGGGGCAGGATCAGCTCCCTGAGATATTCTAATGCTCTTCAGAACCGTGTGCAGAGCATGATCCTCCTCCCCAAGGAGACTGATTTTCAGATCCCAACTGTAAGAAAAGTGCTTGTGCTTTCAGGACAGATTAACTGCTGTGGCTAACACCTCATACCTCCACAGCATAATACTCTCAAGCCACAGACATTTCAGCCAAGATACAACTAAACCACTCCAGCATCATAAATACATAAAGCAATTCTTCATTTGAAGACTCCTCAACATCAGTGCCTTACATCTCTGATGCTCCACGGGAAGCAGGCGGACTTCCACACCCGTGTGATTCTGACTGAAGCCTAGCACCAAAATATGAGCTACTTAAAATAAACAAGTAGAAAATACAAAAATTGTTTTAAAAAAAGCTGTGTTTGTTATTTTTTGCTTGTGAAATTTAGAGAATTTCTGAAAGACACTGAGGCCCTGGAGCACGTCCAGAGAAGGGCAACAGAGCTGTGAGGGGTCTGGAGCACAAGGCTTATGGGGAGCAGCTGAGGGAACTGGGATTGTTCAGCCTGGAAGAGGCTCAGGGGAGACCTTACTGCTCTCTGCAACTGCCTGAAAGGAGGCTGTGGTGAGATGGGGGGAATCTCAGCCAATCGGCCACTGGATAACAGTGACAGCATCAGAGGGAATGGCATTAAGCTGCACCAGGGGAGGTTCGGGTTGTATGTTAGGAACTTCTCAGGAGGAGCAGTGAGGCAGTGGCACAGGCGGCCCAGGGAGGTGCTGTGCAGTCACCATCCCTGGAGGTGCTCCAGAAACGTGTGGATGCAGCACTGAGGGATGCGGTCGGCGGGCACGGGCTGACGGTTGGACAGGGTGATCTTAGAGATCTTTGCCAACCTCAGTGATTCGGTGAAGGACTCGTATGAAAACATGCAGGCTGCTCTCAGCGGAACGAGAGAAGGCAAGAGAGTTCTGCCTAACAGCCTGGAGACCACCGCAGCCTTATTTCAGTCGGAGAGGGTCCGCCTGCTCGGAGCGGCCCTCCCACAGCCGCGCTGCCCAGCCCGGCACCGCCGCAGCTCGGGCACAGCGCAGCGCACAGCTTCGCGCCGCCGACAAAAAGAAGTTTGCGAAGAGACGCGGGGTTCGACCGCTCTTTCGGCCGAGGCGGGAAGACGCGCCGCGGAGCCAGCAGGGCCGAGTAACGCCCGAGCTCTGCACGGCGGCGCCCGGCGATCCCGCACGCGGCACGGGGGCGTAGCCGAGGACGGAACCCGAACCCGCGCCGGGGCCGCCGCTTTCCGCGGCCCGGTGCCGCCCTCCCGCCGCCGGAGGGCCCAGCAGCCGTTCCCGCTGCCGCCGCGGCCCCCGGAGGGCGGCGAGCGGCGACGGGAGACGGCGCCGCGCGCTCACCCCCTCGGTCTTCATGTCGAGGATCTTCTCCACTTCGAACACGTCCTCGTCCTCGTTTTCGTCGTCCTCGTCGTCGTCCTCCTCCTCTTCCTCCTCGCTCTCACCGCCGGCGGCCGCCGCCCCGCCCGCAGCGCCGCCGCCATCCACCACCTCGTTTTCCCCGGCCGCCGCCGCCGTCTCCGTCTCCTCCTCTTCCCCCGCCCCCTCCAGCCTGGCCGCCGCCGCCTCAGCCCCGCTCCTCGCCGCAGCCATTTTGGGCCGAGTTTCAAACGGCGATGGGGAAAAGCGGCTGCGACACCCACGGCAGCCAATGGGCGCCCGGCTGCCGTGACGTCACGGGAGGGGCGGGGCTACCCGTCCTCGGCGCGCTGCGGGCGGCTGCGCCTTTGGGCGGCGGGCTTCGACGGGTGGATGGGGTCTTCGTGTGGGAAAAAGCGGTGAACCTTTTGTTGCTGCGCTAAGCGCTTCTGCCGGTGCCAGAGTGCTAGCAGAGCTGTCCTGGGAGCAGCTATCAAGGAACACCGTCACTCGTGCTGTCCAGCCCGCGTGAAAACTGGCGCTGTTGGCACGGTTGGAACAGAAGTGAGAACTGCCGTCAGAAAACCTGCGGACAAGGTGGCCGCAAAGGGACGTTGAGCGACTGGGAAACGGCCGGAGAAAAGCAGCGTTCTGCTCCTCCGGGGCGCGCTGCAGAAGTACAAAGGCATCCAACTGAGGGCACCGGTAGTTTGCATCGTGAAGGTGTTTATTAGGGCTTTGCTAAGCACAGCGGTAGCCATCAAAACACGCTGCGTTGCAGAGAAGGTAGGACTTTGGAAGAAATAAAACAGAGATACTGTAACAGTACTTGTCTGTACAGAGATACTGTAACAGTATTTGTGGCTATGAAAATCACTCAAGAATAACTCAAGGTGAAAATTACTCAAAATATGTAAAGCAGCAAGAAAAGCTAACGTTGCTGTTGTCTTAAACAATCACAATCATGGAATGATTTAAGTAGGAGAGCTGCTGTCAGTTGCACTCGATCCCCAGTATCTTCTTGGTGGCAGAATCCCAGTCTTTCCCAAGTTCAAGTCGATAGCAAATAGATGCAAATTGTCCCTCAACTCTTTTTACCCACTCTGTTGCTTTCTTGATGGACTCAAACGCCCAGTGAACACCGCTGTGTGTAGAAATGGAGATTTATTAGAATAAATTCTATCATTTGAAAGAGAAAGTACAGCAAACACAGCCTACATAAAATACCATTTGTCAGAGAAAACGACATCATTTTCTCTGCCCCATCTTTTCAGAGTCTTCCATATGGGAAATATGCCTGTACATAATCATAATTTGCATTCATTTACACCATTCCAGTTCCCACATGAAGTTCTACGTATTTCATAATGGCAAACTTGACTCCTTTGTACAACTGCATGTTAGAATTCTTTCACTTTTGTGGTCTGCCCCACTTGCTTTCATCCTGCAGTCAATGTGATTTTGTGTTCAGCCCAAATTTTACAATCATTTTTCCCTCTGTCAGGGAGTTTCAGGAGAGGGAGGAAGACTCTGCAGGGCTTTCCTGGGTTCTTGTCCTCTTGTTAATTTCCCTGGTAAAGCATTAAGGGTATTAGCTTCTCTTTTTGGCGCCACAATCAGCTGGTGTCTGGGGCAATGCAGACTCACTGAAGGCCTATTCCTTCAGGCCTTTTCTTTTAAGACCTTTGCCTTTCCTCTGTAACAAAAAAACTTCCCACCTGACAATTATTTGCTTCACTGAGAATGAAAGGAAATTTCCAGATGCAGCAACCCTATGTTCAAAAGCTAATGGAGAACTGGGACATACAGAAGTAAGTGGGAGTTGTTAGAATGAGCTAACATCAGTATTCCCCAGGGGAAGTGGAAAGTGTGGAAGCTGTGCTGTGACCAATCATCTGCCCTAACGACTTCAGAAGTATTGTATTTTGTGGTGTACACCTGGGAAAATCAACAATGCATAAAGAAAATGTTAAAAAGGGATGAAGGCCAAGAGCCAAAAGTGTCACGAAGGGAAAGTTTGAAATGATTGATGTCTGGAAAAAGTTGAAATGGTGGAATCTCCATCCTTAAAAATCAGCTGGGCAGGATTTTGAGCGATTTATCTGAGTTAGCTCTGCTTTAAGGAACAGATGACCTGAAGAGGTCATGAATTGTTCAGTGATTCTGATAAGAGGTACAAACCTTTTCCTACTTTAAATACTTCTCAATTTTTGTATTATATTTTGCAAAATATTCTTTCTTCCAACTCACCCTCCTAAAAGAAGCTGTGTGCCACCAGTATCAACATTTCCCATTCCCTTTTCTGCAGCTACATTCTATAGCATGGTCATTTACTCTCTATAATGAGATTAATTGTTGTTAAGAAGGGTTATATTGCAATATTAAATTACAAGATTTTGTAAAAGCACACCTTGAAGCTGTTAAATTATCCAGTTTCATCAGTGATTTGAAGACTATCCCTTGCAGTTCCTTTGCACAGCGTATGAACTGTAGCACAAGAAGAGTAGCAATCAATTTCAGTAGCTTTGCTTTTCCATTTGTGCCTAAGAAAGAAGAAATGGGAAATCATTTGAATGATTTCTTGCCAGCAGAAAAGAGACTTCCTGCAAAGTGTGTCCCCGCATAGCTTTAAAAGTTTTTAAGTTCTGATGCTACCCAGTTGTTTCATGATACAGTCAGAACTATCAAGAATATTCACATTAGTGATCCAGAAAATGTAGTGCTGACTTTCAGACTCTAAGCCTGGTAATGCTTTTTTTAGGATGTCTGCAGTTTGTGTTTGCTTGGCTTCTAATCGACTTTGATTTGAATGCATGCAGGAATGGTAAATGTGAGATTTTTGTGCTCTGACGAAGCACTGTGTGCTGATAAAATACTCATATACTATTTAATTTCTCTAATAATTTACAGAGAATGAGTTGCCTTTTCGTCCCCAAGTTTTCTGGTCCGCTGCCAGCAAAGAGCACCAACTGACAGGACCAAGCAGCAGACAGAGTGTGTATAGGCAGAATGCCTACCAAATGAGCTGCAAACAGCATGTAGGGAAAAAAATTATATATTATTCATCTTATTTGAAATGTGAAAAACAGAAGCGGTCTCAGTCTCTCTCCTAGGAGAATTTCTGACTTTCCTTTCAACTTTGTTTTTTTTTTTTAAAGTAGGTATTAATACAGCAGAAATAATACCTGAAAGAAAAGAATCTGTATTGATATTCCAGCTATTTCACATCCTCCATGTACTTCTCTAGGAGATGTACTTAGCAAGCACGACATTATATTGCAAGAGAAGTTGAGATGAATATGTGTAATTAAAATCAGATGCTTCTGAAAACACAGCTAGGAGATCCACGTAAATGCTGAGCATATCTTATGGAAAGTTCCACCAGGCACACAAAGTAATCATACAGAAGGATAGGAAATGTAATACAATGCACTGCTGTTTTAATAACTGAAAAAGTATTTACCGAGTGACTGAATGCCTTTTCTAATAAGGAAATGATTAACTAAATAATCAACATCAAATTTCAAGATTTTTCCCAACTGTGGACTGAGATTCCAAGAGCCATCCTGTGGAATAAACAAAGATATGGATAAGCAAAGACTGAGAAGACTAAAATATATTTGTAAGGAACAACCTAAAACAAAGGACAAGTATTTAAAAATGTTTTTTAAAGCTTTCACAAACACAAACCACCTCTCAGTCAGCTCACTGTGATCAATTAGGTGACTCAAATATTGAACTTCAAAAATCTTTGATGTAACACCCCATGTTTCTACTTGACCTGAAAAACTGTAGTTAAGCTATGAAAAAAATCAAACAGAGCTAATTCTGAACTCGCATACAAACCATGCACAATGACAACACGGCCGCATCAGATTTATTTCAAACAAATTCCTTCAGAAAATTATTTTCAGTGTGCTCAAAAATAAGCATTTGTCTTACCCTAAAGAAGCAATAATGGATCTCTCTCCTCTAGAGGGATTGCAAAGTCTCTGTAAAGTCAGATTACTGTTTATGTTAAATATAGTATTAACAAAACCAATCCTATTTCATCTGCCTTTTCCTGCCAAAAATTAAAGAACTGATTAAAACTAGCTGTCAGTTTGCTACTCTCAGATGAGATGGAAGACAGGCTTTCGAGAGGATATTCAACCACTTATTCTTCAATGTCACTTTCAAAACTTTTGTCTGCCCTTGCAGTATGATGTCACAGATTACTATGACTGTAGAGGAATTGATAACAATTTATAGATTCATTTAAGATAATTTAGAAAACGATGCATGATTTTAAATGAATCTTTAAATATTAAACAACCAATTTATGTAAAAAGCGAGATTCTGTTAGATACTAAACTTATTCAGTGCAAAAACCTGTGAGGAACTGTTTTTCTTTCTAAAATTCAGCACTTGCAATTTTGCTTAAAAACAAAAGAAATCTTGAAGCTCACTTTGTGAGTTAAGTCAATCACAAGTCTGTTCCCCCTTGTATCCCCACGTGTGGCATTTGGTAATCGTTCAACGTGCAGAAATAATTTGATAAAAGTAACCCATCAAAAATATAGGAAAATGTGTACCTCTTCTTGCTGCTTCAGTTAGTTATACTTCCCTACTTTTGCATACAAATTGACATACTGGGTCAGAGCAAAGGGGGGTAGAACAAATCACCAATCTGAATGGCCGGTCCGTGTGGACACATGACAGGAGTTTCCACTGAGGGAACACCACAGTGGTTTCTTCACTTGGATCATATAATACATCTGGAGACCTTGATCATCACATCACCCTCTGGTTTAGTCAGCTCACCAAACTGGTGATGGTTAAGGTGGAACAGGGACTTGTCCCACTGCAGGGGGAATATTCAACGAGGCAAAACGTTACCTGCTTTGACTCCTACTTGCAGGATTCTTGGACAGCATTGGTTCAATTCTGCTTGCTTTAAATCCACCAGCCATTCAGCTGGTTTAACTATCCTGCAGAAGTTCCCACTGCACTCACTCCAATTCTCCAAACCTCAATTTGTTTTAAGTTTTTGCTTAATGAGCATTATTTGCATCTACTACTTCTGCCTGTCTTCCCCTACATGTTTTCATACACATTTTAGGAAGTCCCCAATCTGCAAACTGATGGGGGCTCTAAATCAGAGGTATATAGCTACTTTTGGCTCTAATTTTACAGTTTCTTAGGCACCCATTAATGAGTTGCCTGTGACAGCAATATAACATAACGTGACCTTGAGGTCATTATGTACTTCTTAAGACCAATTTGTAAGGGAAAAAAAGCAGATACATTTACAAAATGCTTATCTCAGGACAGGTATAAAGTAAAAATACTTTTTTCTTCTACAAGTATTTTACTTTAAGTAATGCACAAAAAGACTGTTGGTACTGTACCTGATTTTGGAGATCAAAAATTTCTTCCCAGATTACAGGAGTAAACTCAAGTTTCTGTTGGCTTCTTTCTTTCTCTGTTGTTATAAAACACCTTGGTTGTACCTGAAGAAGATAATTTTCACTCAGAATCAGAATCTTACTCTACCACCATTACCCATGCACCTACTACATCATGGTAAAAAGTAATTGCATTAAAAAGTTTTCAAAGAAACTTCTTTATAAAACAAACTTCTTTTTTTTTTAAGTTGAAATTTGAAGATTTTAAGTTCATTCTTTTCCACTTAGGAAAGTATTTGCAATTCCACAGTTAATGAGGCATTTTTTCTCCATTTAAAAGTTACCTATTAGAGCAGTGAGGAACAAGTGACAGAATTCAGACTATAACGTATTTCCCTTTAAACAGCAGTAACAGAAAAAAAACAAAAATAACGCGGTTCAGGTCTCTTGAAAGAAGTTTCATTACCACCCTTACCATGTTCTTGTTCTGCTGCACAGCCATGAACCTTGAAACAAAGGTATTTTTATGGCAGTTTTCATTAGGTGAATGCAGCTTGGATTTCAACATGATGCTCATAGCATCCTGTGTATAGAAGACTCCTGACAGAAGACTTACCAGAAGTTCAGCACTCTCAGGAAATTTCTGTTCCGAAGCTGTAGCATCGTGCAGACCTATTACCATTTTCTTCCTATACTTTGGCTTTAATTTTTTTTTTTCACAATGTTGGGGAGCAGGAGAATTGGGAGTAACTTGTCTCTCAGTGTTAGTCTTATGAGAAGAGTGTGTGCTTGTATGTGAACTTAACACAGTTAGATTCGGAATGTGATCAACAGAAGAATTATCATATTTCATTCCTCCAAAAAGACTTTGAGGAGAACAATACATGGGAAGTTCACAAAATCTCAGATGGGCACCTGAATCTGGAACTGCAGGTGTTGGAAGTAAATTTTTTTGAGTTATATAAGCTTCTCCTCCTGTGTCTAGTCCAGAGCCAGAAAATAAAGCAGTCACAGAAGATTTACATGGTAAAGATGACATTGTTCTTGAACATTTCATCATTGTGATGTCACCATCATGAAATCCATAGTCCTGTGGTGTGACTTCTTGTGAGGTGCTTTCTTGATTAACAGAAAGTTCTTCAAGTTGAAATTGAAAGCCTTCAGTTTCACACCTCTCAGTTGTGAAATAATCTGACCAAGCTTCAGAATCTTGCAGAGCTGCCTGGTTAGTAAAATTACAGGGAAATAACATAATAACAGAATTAGTAAGATATTTTCCTCTTCTTAATCAATGCAGTATTTCTTCTTATGTTGTGCATATCATTATATCCTCATTCTTACATCCAAGATGAAAGTAGTATATCAAACTAAAATTCCTACCTTATTCTACCTTACTAAGGTGAAGTTTGCCTGACAAAATACAAAGTGTTGTGCGTTATTAAGATAAAAACAATGACTATAATGATAGTTTGGATCCAAGGAAGTTCTACCATTCCTTATTATTTTACATACACAGAAGATGGATTTATACAAACTGAAACGTGAATCCTGCTTGTGCTGTCTCAAGCTGGGAAGCTCACATGATGCACTGCTATTGCTTCTAGTCCTGGCACTAGGCATCACTCAAAAGAGCCCGGCTCCCTCTTCTTTGCACCTTTGCTTCATGTTTTTATACCCATTGATAAGTTGCCTTCTTTTGAGCTTAGTTACAGTACAAACAACAGACACAATTCTAAATAATCCACAATCTCAATACTTACATTACAGACTACAGGTTAAGGCGATGTTTCTCAGTTGTTTTAAATGCACATCATGGTCACGTACAAGATAATTTAATAGACAAATAATGATTTAAGTGATTCCCCTACGAAATGTGGAGGAAACCTTTACCTGGTAAGACTTTAAGAACTAATAGAATGACACCTGCTGGCTAGTTTCCAAAGGCAAGAGCTACCATAACTAACAAACAGCCTATTTCACTAGTTCAGGATTTTCTCATCTCGTCAAAACCTTGATCTTCCTAGATGGACCCACCCTCCCCACGCACCTCTATCCAACAACCTGCTAGCAGGAGGAAAAAAAGAAAGAAGCATCCAGTGTGGAACTAATTTCTTTCTAGATAATTCAGAAATTGAAGAAATGTCATAAACAACAACTGTATCTTATCACATACAATACAGCACCACAACTGGATAATACACCAGAAATGTTAGTGACAAGAACATACATCACATGGAGGCATCCCGTAAGGTTCTGAAAATAAGACGCCGGATCCCACTGGCTTTTGTTCCCAGTTCATGTAAGGTAAAAAATCAACATCTTCTTGAGCTATAATTTCCAGGATGTTTGGAACATTAGCAGAACAAATTTCACTAGTATCCTAAAATAAAATTCATCACAGTTATAAACTTGAGAATTCTCTTCAGTCTTTGTTTAATTCTTAGTTTTGGTGGCTGTTAGACCAAAAAAATCTGCCATAACAGAGAGTGAGTTTTTTATTTGTGCATTCAAAACATACTGAAAACAGAACAAGCAGATACAGTAGAACGTTAAAAATACTCAGTGTATACCAATAAGCAGTAAATCTAACTTCTGACTTTTGACTATACTGAGGAACAATGTATTCCCAGTAAAGGAATTTCTAATACTATAGGAATACTGATACTAATGATAATTCTTAATACAATCAAGTTGTGGTTTCCTTCTGTGATTACCACCCAACACAGACTCTCCTCAAATGACTTTTGCCATACAAAACCTATTTCTTCAGTAATTCATAACCAAGGTGGCCAGTTTGCTACAGTTTGGTATTGTGACTTCCTTATGAAACTGCTCTGTGGTTATGCATGAAGAAGGATTAATAAGTGCACTTCATATGGTCTTGCTCTTTGAACAATTTGGCTTCCACAGTTCTAGCACAAACTGCAAACCCTTGTGGCAATTCCCAACAGGAATATGCTGACTGACAAGGTTTTGTTGTAAACTGAAGACGCGCAATATATGAGAAAGATAACAAAAATAGCTCACTGTATTGCAGAAGAAATAAAAATATTTTCAAAAATCATAGCTTTGTCTCTATTTCTAAACTAATAAACATTGTTCAGCTAAATGAAGATTGGTTTTGATATGTGTAAGGTTAAATAATTTAGAATCTTCTGACAGATAAGATAGAGGGAGCAAGACATTTAATAGAAAACGTACCCTCTTCTCAACCGCAATGAAGCTTGTAAACTGGGTTATAATCGAGTTCTCCAAACTGAGACGTATAATCATGTTCTTCAAGATTTGCTTCTTCATCTAGATTGTTCACGATTAAATGCAGGAGGTAGAAAAAACATAATCAGATAAAATCAACAGATGTAAGAACTGAATATAGAAACACACCAATGTACTCAAAATTGGGATATGTAAAAGGAAGAGCTTGCGAATATACTGGTCTGCCTAACTGCCTATGCCTTCTAACTTTCTCTACTCTTACCTTTGGACAGGGGCATGCATTTTCTTTAGTGAGACAACCATTCTAGGCAGCCTATTTGAGTGCTCTGTCACCCTCAAAGTAAAGATGTTTTTTCTCATGTCCAGATGGAATTTCCTGTGTTCCAGTTTTTGCCCACTGCCTTTTATCGTGTTGCTGGGCACCACTGAAAAGAGCCTGGCCCCATCCACTTGGCTCCTACCCATTAAATGTTTATAGGTGCTGATAAGATCCCCTCTCAGTTTTATCTTCTCCAGGCTGAACAGTCCCAGTCTCTCAGCCTTTCCTCCTAAGGGAGATACTTCAGGGCCCTCAACATCTCTGTGGCCCTCCACTGAACTCTCTCCAGTAGTTCTCTGTCTTTCTTGAACTGGGGAGCCCAGAACTGGACAGAGAGGAGTGCCATTGTATTCCACCCCATCCTATACAAAAGATAAGGACTTTTCCTGTACTAGTATGAACTACAGGAAACAAAAATGTTATATGCCACAGGGAAAGAAGAACCACCAACAGCGTGCCATGACAAGTATAGGTTAGGAAAAATGTACACACATTATGCTCAGAGAAGATATTCTTATAATGGGGAAGAACACAAGACGGTCTCAAAATTCTTCAAAATCTCATTTAGTGGGAAAATGTATTACTACATGGTAACCTTAACCATAAAGTGACACTGGAACTGCAACAAAAAAAGTCACATGGCAAAAAAATCTCTATTCGATTGAAACGTTTGCTATTTGACATTTAAATACACATTTTAAATTTTCTGCTTTTAGATTATCAAACCTCATGCTCTGTTTCATTCTCATGAAGAATACCATCTTCATAGTCCCTAATGAAAGCTCTTGCTGTGAGTTTGTGTAGCACCTAGAAAAGAAAACAAAGGTGATAATACTACTAATAAATATATATATATTTAAAATTCTTCCTTTTATTTACAAAATCCCCCATCAGGCAAATAGCTTCCATATGTACACAGAATCCAGTTTTCTAGGGGCAAGGTAATTCTGCATTTAACAAGCAACCATAACTTGCACCTAAGGTGTATTTTTATTTTACTTAATGTTATCAAGCTAAAAGATAATCAGGTCTTCACTTGTTGCATACATTCTCGCCAGTCAAGGATGAGAAAAAGCAAATAAATGAATGCAGAAAATTCAGGTAATTAATCTAATTTTGAAACATCCACCTAAAACAAGTAGGGAGAATTCCCTTTCTGGAAGAAAAAAAATCTCTCTCCAGTAACTGCAAATGGAACCTGGGCAATCACCTCAGACTTAAGCAGGAATATCTAGATAGCTGGGGGTAAATGAGTCCTGTGCATAAAACTACAGAATTTCGGGGAAAAGTACATTGAGTTTAACTTTCAAAGAATCATTAGGTCTACCACAATCAAGTCAGTTTTGACCTGAGGGTTTGTATGCAGAAAAGGGAAGTACTGAACTCTATTAATCAGATAGTCCTTTTTAAAATGGAACCACTCTTTCATAGGAAAGAAAAATGGTGGTTTTTTTTTTGGCTTGGTATATTAAAGGTAACAAAGAGAAAGAGCACCATGGAGGTGACATGGCAAAGTACTTTGTATTCCAGGTTTAATTGCTCAACATTCCTAGTGGCTCATTTTGGAAGAAAACAGTAGATGCTGAAGGGAGCCACTTCTTAAGATAACCTCATAAGCAAGTAGTTACTTCTGATCTTAGGTGAACTGGCAAAAGAAACAGGTAGGAATGCTCAGGGTTCATCTAAAACATCAAGAATTATTAGAAATAATGGTTTCTAATTTGGTCCTGTTTTTCAACATTTTGTCTTATCACCTGACACCTTTCAAAGCTGCATTTTTTAAACTACATCTGGAATTTGTACTACAGAATTTTTTTAAAAAACAAAAATCCTTTGTGTTAAGCAAACACATTGCTTCTACTTGCCAGTCCCACTTGTCTGTATTAGAACATATCCTGGGAAACGAGCTGTTCTAATACTGCAACCCACAGTATTAGTTTTCAAAGTGGACTACACTAAATAGGGAGCAAAATCTTTTCAATTTGAAAACAAATCAGCTCTTCAGTGGGGAAAGGATGACAGCCTTATCAGAATCAATACTGAAGGCTGACTATTCAGTTGGTTTTTAAAGCGTAGGCACCCATTAGATTAATAAATGGTTCTTTTTAGCTTGTTTGCCTTTTCAAGATTGGTGCTGTGCTTTTCTCTATATAAATTCTCTCCAGTTATTTATTTCACTGTTACTGAAGCAACTGAAAGGTTAGTAACACTTTAATGTTTTGACATTTTAAAAGATTAAAAACTAGTAAGCAGATTGTCCACATGGAAACAATTTACAACTTGAGAGAGAATGAGGCAGCATGCAGAATTCACCTGAAGAGCTGCCAATGCAAGGATAAAACTGGAGCCCAAATAAATTATCAGAATAAGAAGTAGCATCTCCTGTTTTGAAAAGTTGAAGTTTTGAGTTAGAAACCTGACATTTGTATGTAAAACAGTTTCCCTTTAAAAGCCTGAAGACTGCTGGTCTGTGCTAAAACATCAGAAGCAAAAATAAAAAAGTTACTGAAACCAGAAGTTTCAGCTCACTCAAAGAAGCACAGTGCAGCACGTTGTTGCTTAAAGCAGCTTCGCTCACTGTTGTGTGCACAGACAGTGTTGCACAAACTCACCGTTCCTGTTGTCTTCTGTAATTCAGTAGTTGACACCACAGTTTGTAGTTCTTGGTCATTTATTATCGCCCTTAAGGTGGCCTATAATGAAAAAAAACAAACAAGTTTCCTTCTCTTGTTATGTTGTGCTACCAGAACGCATGAATGCTATCCTGATTCCTGAATGTAACTCAAGTCTGTCTCTCTGCATGGCTATACTTAAAAACATTTCCCCTTACAACAAGGGGACAGTTGCAAAGAAAGGAATCCTGTATTTATCAAAGTCCAGTGACTTGAACATTAAATAAGGTATCCTTTTCCTCTCTGCACTTCACTAGGAAGACTAATAATTTAAATATTGAATTATATTTAGCAGTAAAGAAGCTAAAAGCGTGCTGGATAAAGCATGACATAATATAACACAGTACATCTTGCAATCTCTTCAGCTGTGGATTTCCATCCAGCAGTATGTATCCCAGTCTTTACCTGAGTACAGTGAGGGACAAATCCATAGACGAGAAGCCTCTCATTGGTAAACAAAGACTGTATTTGAGCAGGAGCCTGCATTGGCTTCGGTGCATTTATATCAAACTGTTGCCATTTAATAGAAACAGAACTGCATCCTGGAGAAAATATTCTAGATACTTGGCTCTGTATCTGTGTAAAGATTGAAAACAAATTAGCTCTGTTTGCTTCTAGGCTTTTAAGAGAAAATATAATCTCTTGATACAAAAATAACATATTTCCTTTTTCCTTTTCTTTTTCTTTCAATTTTTATTTTTGGTACAACTAAGGGCATGTACTTGTAAAATTGTCACCACATATTGGTAAAAGAGTCTAATGCTTTGAGGTAGTGAGGATAATCACTAAGCCATTATTGCACTGGCTTTTAAGTGAGATATGAGACTGAACTTTCTTCAGGTTGGCAAAAAATTTAGAGAATGTGGTCTGCTACACCCAGCACCTCCTGTGTGGGAACTCTGAAATGTGTGAACAGTTCTGCACATCTCTGTGTTCTGCACATCTCCATGGTCTGCTTTGGATAATTCTGCATGTATCATTCAAATGGCAGCCAGACGAGCAAAAGAATAAACTTACATTTTCAGTCCTTTCCCCTGCCAAAAACATGCCAGATACTAGCCATGCTGCAGTCCCTTCTATACTGTCACTGTTTCAGGAGGGACCAGATTCAAGGCACGGGACAGAGCTGTAGGCACAGAACTATACTGGGAAACTGAGAAGCACTGCACATGGAGTCCTAGATTGCCTGTATCTTCCAGATGTACCAACAGTCAAAAGTTTTGGCATGCAGTTGCTACAACCCTCCACATTACAGCAAGGACGATGCTGTAGATGGACTGTGAGCTATGACAGAAGTGAAACTATATTTTTCCATGCAGGGAGAGTTACTTACAAAGTTTGAAATTTCATCATCTTTTTTCCAAGTTGGGGTTATTGCACTTACAAAAAGCACAGACCTCTTTCAAAGGCGCTAGAAAAATGAACTCATGGCTTTCTTGTTTTTTTTAACATTGTTTTTAACATTCAGTGACCAGTAGGAATAGGAAAGTGGGGCAAGTACAGTGACAAATTCCTTCCCTTATCAAAGAACTTATCAATATTCCGCTGTAGCACATGTTCCTGCTGAAAACAAGGCATGCTCCTGAAACCTTTGGAACACTCAAACCAAATACTTCCCTTTCTAAATATCTATGCATTTCTATTTAAAATAAGAGAAGACTTGACAGACAAGCATTTCTCCCTCCATTTCTATCAACTGCCCCTCTTATTGTAATAAGCCCCATTAACCATGAAATGAAGAATTAGTAACTCCCATTTTGAGATACTGAAAATGTTCAGTATCAGATATTGAGATATCAGACAATGATCACATATGGAATACATTCAGCATTTGTAAGTGTACCTTTGCCTCCCAGTTATACTTTGATTTCGAGTCAAAGTATTCAAACACTCCAGCACCATACTGGGACAAAGATCTCAGCATGTGTCGATTTGCTGTGGAACTAAAGAGAAAAACAAATCTTATGTAATGTAATTACTGAATCAAATCATTAAGTCATACGATCTCTTTTCTACTTCTCATACCATTTAAGATGTCTTGGTTTTAATTTTTACTGCACGTTTTTTGAATTTAAATACTTTTAATTCCATACTTTTTTCAGGATATGGACCAACTGACAGTGACTGAGCCAATGAAGGTGCTGCTGAATTACAGATTTCCCAATAATATTTGAGGAAATTACAAGGCATATGAGTGTCTCCATATCCTAATGCAAGGATGTGAAGAGAAATTAACTAATGTCCAACACTAATAAGGATCATAAAAATGACGTTAACTAATTGATTCATCTAATTAACCTCAGTCTCAGCAGAACTGTTTAGTATGGGGACAATCATCTTACAGCTAAATCCAGAATCAATTAGGGAATCTTACTTTCTGGAAAACATAATCGATACGATAATACTTATCAGCTCTGCTCCCCAGCTCTGGCTGCTATGAAGCTATAGACAAAGAGAGCTTTAGGGAGTATTACAGGAGAACAATTAAGCAGATGAAAGTTATTGTGAGTGAGAAACAGAATATTACGTGTTGATTCTTTGTCAGACAGGTAGATTCAGTCCTGACAGCATTATAGCATTGTTTTAGAGAAACCTACTGAACTGTCACCAAATCTCCTTGAGAAAAAATTGTACAAATAGTAAGGCTATGTTTCATAACAGGAACACATAACATCTAGTGGAAGCTGTCTCTGCCCATGGCAGGGGGTTGGAACTGCATAGTCTTTGAGATCCTTTCCACCACAAATTATTTTATGATTCTATGGTTTTTTTCATTCACTTGAATTGTCACAGACAGAACTGTGATAATGATGACTATTCTGTACTAATACAGCCTTCTAAACAACTCTGTTGACACAGAAGTACCAACCATAGAGCCAACTTCTCTTTCACAACTCTTTCCCAATTCATTGTTTAACAATGAATTAACATTGAATTAACATTAACAATGAATTTAACATTAAACACAGATCCCACCTCCTGAAAGCAGACTGCTGCACATTAGCACCATCATATTTGTGTTACAGGTCTTGAGGAGCTATTAAAAGCCATGTCTCCTTAGCCTATCAGCACTGAGACAATCCATCCCCAGGCCTAATTCTGTCATTACAAGAATATGAAGGTAAATATGCTGAAAATGAACACAATATGACTGTAAGTACTTTAAAAAGGATGTTAGCATGTAAGGAGGCACGCACCATCTGCTCTTTATTGTGAGTTGATGCAAATTCTGTTATAGTTAAAACATGTGAATACACTGGAACTGTACTGGGATGCTTGGCCCATGGGCTGAGGGGTGCTTGTGCAGTGCTGTTAGAGGGCTCATGGCTGTGAGAACTGGGGAATGTTGGCAGAGCCGTGCAGAAGGTAAAAGATGTTCTAGAAGAACAGGACCCTACCATTGGTGTCCATTGGTCTCTATTTTGATGCATTCCCTCCCAAGGAATAGTAAGAAGCTAATACTATCTGACTTCTTCCCACTTATGCCTGGCAATGTGAAATACCTAGCTGTAAGTCCTTTTTTCCAAAGTCATTTCAGGTGAGTACATACCTTGCCTTTAAAAAAAAAAAAAACAACAAAACTGAACAATTGAAGTACATTACAATGAATTTCAATGAGGTTTTACTTGTTCCTGAGGTCTCTAACACAGATAGCTCATAACAAATGTTCCCAAGCTACATTCTCTCTAATATTGCCATCATTGTAGAAGATCTGAGCTAAGTTACAGTGATAGCAGTTGCTCTTGCTCCCCTCCTCCGGATTGGGAGCACACATGTAATAGAGAAATCATGTCTCCTTTCTCCTGTCTCCATTTGGGAGGAGGAAGTGTGAATTTGGATGTTTAGCAAAAAAAGTTGACACAGTCACTCCCTGATTTGCCCTGAACGACAGAAACTGGTTTGGAGTGGAGGAGGTTCATTTTCACATCATTTTGAAGTAGCTTGCATTCCAGCAGTGAAATGTACCACAGGTTTGGGAACCTAATGCTTACACTGTCTTTACAAAAGAAATGAAAATGAAATAATGAAATTGTACAACTATTAATGTTACACTGAAATTCCACTACCGAAATCATACTAAACCAAAACATGAAATGCAATGTTTTAAAGTATTAACTCTCATACTTTCTGATTTTACCTTTAAAAAGGAAAGTTGTTATAATGAGGAAAGATATGAATAGGTAAGGCTATCTGAACATAGAATTAACTTTACTGTAGGTATTTTACTCTACGTATTTTTCTTTTTGGTTATTAAAGATATGCAAACATTTCTGCATTTAATCTAAATATATATAGATCTTTAAGATAGCACCCAAGCATCTGGCACTTCCCAGCTTACTAATCTCTCACTTCAAATAAAATACCAGTGCTTTAAAAGAAAATCCAACGCGGTGCTTACCCAACACCACATGTGAATAACCTCGTATGGTGGACGTTATCTTTCACAAGCTGGAAGGTCACACTCTCATTCTGAATGTGTCCATCAGATATAAGAAGAATGTTACGATGTCCTTGAGAAGGAAATAGCAAACTTAAGTAACGCAAGCTCTTCCATAAATCAGTGTTTCCCATTGTTGCTGTAGCAGACTGAAAAGTAAAGTATTAAAATGTTAGTTTGAACTTGATTTATCTTTTCTAAAATAACACCTAGTACATAATTGATTTGTTACTTACTATATATTTATTTAACTATAAACTATTAATTATTAACTTTTATTTTGTTTCTGCTCTTCGTAATTATTAGAGGTGGAGCTTGAGGTTGATGGCATTCGGTATCTTCTCTGGTTTAAGCAATAAACATTTTTCATAGGCAAAATGCATAACAGCAATTATAAATCTTCCCAAAATTCTCAGAAATTTCAGTAATCCGTGCTTTGGGAATCTCTGGAGTTTTTATCCACATTACTGCATCCACAAGCTGTTTACAGCTCTATCTTTTAATCTGCCTATCCCACTTCTGAACTGAAGGATAATTTGCCCTCAAGTGTGACAAGAACGCTTTAGTTTTTCTTTAAAATCTGCTGATGGATCATTTGCTGGGTGTGCTATGACCATCAGAGGTGAGGAACAGCAAATCACCATTCCTATTCTCCTCTTCCTCTCTGTTTATCCTGGAAGAGATGACTGTGTAAGGATGCAACTGAAACTAAAAAAAATCAGGAAAAGTCTTTTCCTCATACAGCATGTCTTCCATATACCTGGCTATCTTTGCTTTCTCTATCTCCAGCCCTTTGTTTTGAGATGGAGTGACCAGAAGTATCTACAGCATTCAAGACACCAGAGCAACACAGATTTATACATCTACCTAAGTGTTTGCCTGTTTGCCTGCTGCTGAATGGTGGGCCCTGGTTTAAAAAGGGCTATTTAATGTGGCTCCAGCATCTCTCTACTGCAGGAAGCCCAACATCATACAGGTACAGTTAGCACCTTTTTCCCCTCTGTGTTACTTTGCATCAATCATTTGCACCTTATCATGCATTATGTTAGCATCTCAAGTATTATGCTAGCATCAAGAAGCTTTATTTACAGATGAAGAGCATACTAGAACATAGAACAAACCAAACCTGTTCATCCTAAATAGTTTACATCTGATCTTCTGATGACAAAAGCACTTTTTTTTCTCAATAAAAGTCCTCTGGCCCATCTAAATGCTGCCTTCTTTTACAAATGATAAAGCTTAACATCAGGAAGCACTTCTTTACTGTGCAGGTAACAAAGTACTGGAACAGACTAAGAAACTGTAAACTCTCCCTCCTTGGAGATTTTCAAAAGCCACCTAGACATGGTGCTGAGCAACCTGATTTAGGTTTCCCAGCTCAAGCAGAGGTTGGAGCAGATGACTTTCTTCCAGCCTCAGCCATTCTGTGATTATATGAAGTAAATAATTTCCCCTCTTCTGCTGTGGGCAGGCAACAAGAAGCATGAGCTCCAAAGGATTATTTTAGCGGGAAACATTGTAATTCTTTCCTAATACAGATACCTACTTACTTTCAAAATAACAACTTAAGCAATTACTTTAAACCGTAGTGGAATTAATATTTAGATGTGGTTGTGCTTGTTACTAGGGTAAATAATTATAAAAATTATAACATTATTTAAAAAAATCCTTAGAAGCTAGCCTAAAGAAAAGAAAAAGTTGGGTAACTTTTGTAATGATAACCATTCCTTTCCAAGAAGTGTTCTTTAGTATACAACCAAATTGATTTACTTACTGTAATAAACTCAGTTAGTGATGCCAAATCCTTGAAGGTATTCTTTGAAAATGAAGAAAATTCTGAGAAATCTGTAAACAAAGGTAGATGTTAAGAGCACTGAAATATTAATATTTATCAACGCTTGGAAACACAAGTTTAAGTTTCACGACTAGAATATCAGGATAGAAATGCATCACACTACTACATGTTCCAAGTTGCAGTGTATTAAGTTGGTTTGATAATAATGATGCACATAAAATTGAGTCGTGGCAAGTAAAAGGTGGCTTACAGTTAGGAAAGAAACAAAGAAACTCACTTGTGCCAAATTTGATTACATTTACATTTTGTCTGGAACTAAGCAGTTTTAAGGCATGTAAAGCAATCTGCTTTGCTTGCAATAGAGCTGAACCTGCCATAGAATTTGAGCAATCTAGTAAAATAATAATTTCACTGGACAGCTGCTCTTCATCAAATGCTGCTTCGAACTCTGGTTGGAATACAAGCATGCAAGCCTACAAAGAGAGAAACAAAATCAGTGCAGTGAACAAATACTTTTTCACTGGAAATGTACCCACGCATCTTCATTTTCCTCATTACGAATGAGAGCAGAATAAAGTAATATTTGAAAATTTTACCAAATATATTTCATTTACTTTAAATTCTTGAAAAGTGCAATTTTCCTGTGCTTTAGCTATACCTCAAGTTCCACATGAAAAATTGAAAACAGAATATTTTTTGTTTAATTTTACAATCCAATTCACTCGTTGGCAAACAGCATTCAGTTCTTTACTCCAATTTAAAAACAATTTACAGGTATTGTCTTCTGTTGTCATAACTGCCATCATCCACTTAAGCAGTACGGTCACATTTCTGAGAAGTACAAGCAGCAGCACAACAGTTTGTTAGAAAAACGTGTTTCAACTGAAATGTGAATGGACACTGTTGAAAATGCACCTCAACCTTCACTCCATTCCAAGGCAAAGGATAAAAGAAAATCACCAAGATTCTATTGAACACTGCCTATGGTGTCCATCTGTTTATTGTGTTTTAACATATTACCTCATAAACTATGACAGGTGTGCCATACCTCACTATTTTTGTTGGGATGCTTCTCTACCCACATTCGGGGTGCATAGGCATGAGAAATCCATATATCTAGACCAAAGCCACTGCTGTCCAAAGAACTGTTGTCTACGGTCTTAATTACAGCCTTGCATTCTGTTTTCTGGAAGAGAGGAAAAAACAGGCATAATCTCAGTTTATAACTGTACAGTGAATATGTTTTACTTGTACAAAATAAAATTGTGATTCGTGAGGATAGGGAATGAAAACAAAACATTTAATAGGGGTAGTAACAGAGATCTTTTCCAGAAAGATTATATTAATCTTTAAAGGTATAGTTGCTATTTACATACTATATTCTTTCAAACATCATTCACTTGAAGACAAACAAAACAAAAAGGATTCAAAACAACAGAATTATTCATCTGAGAAAAACAGAACCTATCAGGTTGAGGGATGAATACTGCACAAAGTCACACAAATCTTGCACACATATTTCCTAGGATTAAAGTTCCTTTTAAAATGCATGGCAGAACTTCTAAGGCAGAGGAACAGCTATAGAGAAATTAATTTACCTTTATCTTAAGTTTATGTGTCCAACTGTGTAGGCTTTCAATGCTATATGGCATCTCAATAGACATATCCAAGGAGAATCTGCTAAATAAGGAGAGTAGAAGTAAATGGTGGTCATTTGAATTACAGAATCACAAAATGCAGGGCTGGAAGGAACCTCTGGAGATCCTTCAATCCAACCCTCTCCTAAATTAGGCTTCCCTATAGCAGGAAAGCATCCAGGTTGGTTTTGAGTATCTCCAGAGATGGAAACTCCACAATCTCTCTGAGCAGCCTGTTCCAGTGTTCTGTCACTCTGACAGTAAAGCAGTTCCTTCTTGTGTTAGTATGGAACTTGCTGTGTTCCACTGTGTACCTGTTGCCTCTTGTCCTGTCACCAGGCACCACTGAAAGAGCTTGGCCTCATCCACCGAGCTCCCACTCATTAGATATTTATGAGTGTTGACAAGATGCCCTCTCAGTCTTTTCTGTAGGCTGAACAGTCTCTCAGCTCCCTCTAAGGGAGGTGCTCCAGGCCCCTAATCATCTTTGCAGCCCTCTGCTGGACTCTCCTGTGGTTCTCTGTCTTTCTTGAACTTGGGAACCCGGAACTGGACAGAGGACTCCAGTTGTGGCCTCATCAGGGCAGAGTAGAGGGGAAGGATCCCCTCCCTAGACCTGCTGGTCACGCTCTTTTTAATGCACTCCTGTATTAATGTGTGTGGTTATTCCTTCCCAGATGGAGAGGACTCTACACTTGCCCTTGTTGAAGCTCACGAGGTTCCTCTCCACCGAAATAATGATTAATCTGCATGCCAGGATGTCACTACGAGAATGAGCTATGTTTCCTGTCCTATTTAACTGTCTGGATGGGATGAAGAATTCTGAACTACTTCGACAAATTTCTGTCCGAAAGAGTTACCACGCTGATTCCCAATGGGCATTCACAGGTTAAAAGGTCAGAATGGAGAAGACGTCATTTGACATGACTGTCTGTATAATATATTATGTAATGCAACCATCTCTTCATTTTACCCAATGTTTTTATTTATCTAAAGCAAAACTTCTTAAAAGGCTATTAAACTAGCTTTCAGAGAAGGCAAGTTCATCATATTTCCCTGTGTAACTGTTTCAACAATCTTCACTGCTAAAACTATACTTATTTTTAATTCAGCTTGAACTTTCAGTCTTCTTCGTTTATTTCTGTAATGACATCAAAAGCAACTTGATAGGTGGTATCACAGAAAACAAGAAGTAGGATGCATACAAAACACAAGATAGCATATAATGTTTCATGGAAACACTTCCCAGATTGTAGCTGGAGCTCAATGTGTGTGGCCTACAGGCTGTTTTCGTTGGAGGTGATGGGTTTTTTTCTTCATTGTTTTTTTTAATTTCAGCCAGTCTGGCCTCATAAGTTTATTTTCTCTCTTCATTACTTCTTTGTTAGCACGTTTTGGGATTCCATTAGCTACTTTTGCCATATTATCACAATGGTTGTGCATTCCAGGTTGTTTACTTACCACAATGCTGGGTTACAGATAGTCACTATATTCCAGGATATAATCTCCCAAGCTGTAGGTCTGTAGGGCTACAACTATTTCCTCAGTATGTAGTTTTGCATTAGCCAGCCTTACAACACTTTTGTCGAATGAGTCCCCTTTAAAAAATACTCTTGGCTATTTGGAGTCCTAACCTTGGTGTTATTGACTGTACGATGGATTTGTGCATCCTTTGCAATGTGTACGAGCAATTATTTTCTACCTATAGTCACACCTCCATTATCCTTAAGATGCTTGTGGATAAAATGTACAGTGGGTATGCACAGTCCCAGAGCAGCTGCAGAACCAGACTGAAGCCAGAAAATATATATCACTAAGCATTATATAAATGTTTGCAGCTAACTTGAATGTCTTTGTATTGCTGATTCTAGGACCTGATTCTGGAAAGAGTGAAGTAGTGATACCTGAGCTCAGTCCTCACACAATAACTGTTCTTAAGTGTTTCCCCACTTATTATATTTTCTAGCTGAATTATCCTTTCACAACAAAATTAAATTAAATCATTATTTTAAATACCTTTTCTACAACAGGATGTGTTTTGTAAGAACTTGTAAATTTGTTCTTGATGCATTTATGCCAGAAATGGCACCAGATCTTTAGCAAGTCAGTACAGTATTTCTACTAACCAACAGTAATTGTACTGAATAAAAGCAAGGTAATAATAGGGAGCATTATTTCAGGATTAAATACAAGTTGAGAAAATTGCAATGGATGTGGCTTTGTGCCAGCTTTGCAGATAGAGCAGAGAAGAAACAAGAACATGCTCATGAAAAACTCTTTTCATGTGCTTCTAGTAAGGACAATTCAATTCCCTGAAAAACATAAGTTTTAACATATTTACTGCTACCTGCATTCCTTGTGATTCTGATGGAGGATGGCCTTATGCAGAAACATTTCTGGGAATATTTTGTTTACAAGAAGTCTTACTTTGACAACAGCATTATAGTTTCAGATAATTGTATTTTTAATTTAAAATGCAAGTGCAAAGGCTAAAATGTTAAGTGCAGTGATACTGAAAATATGAAGATCATGTAGGCTCATTAAGCTTTGTGACTTGGGAATTTATGTATAATCCTTCGTAACGGAAATGTTTCTGAAACAAAGGGAAGTATTTGTGATATTACCAATCTAAGGATAACAACAGATAAGAAAGAAAGATGAAATTAAACTAGTCTCTCAATGCAAATTTCAGAATAAATAGAACAAGGTTAAACACACACATTTTAAGTGAATGATTTAAAGGTATAATAAGTAAAATAACATTAATGAAAGCAACTTACTTTTTCAGTGTTTCTACTTGTTTAACACAAATCTTTTTTATTGTATCCTACAAAAAAAAAAAAAAAATCTTATATTGCACCAGTTACGAAATATTGGCATGTAATTCCCGATACTTCTGATACTTCAGCTGGAGCTCCTTCTATCACTAAAATGGGATTGCCTGCAACCTTTTTTACGTCATTCATTCATACAGCCTTGTCATCCAAGTATCAGTGCAGCTAAAATTCAGCTGAATTTGCATGTGCTTGTCTCCCAAAGGCACAGTGAACTTCAGAACTCCCAGTAATACAGCTCTGAAGCAGAAAGCATGACTAGTCAGACATATGACACAGCTACATGATCTCATGAGGACTAGGACCACAAGGACCACCTGTGGCTCCTTGCCAGCATTTAAACAGAGATGACCTCCCCTCCCACCTGTACAATTCATGAGCCATCAGGGACATGAAAGAAACAGATGGGAAACCTTATCAGAGAAATAAGATGGATAAAAGAGAGTGTTCAGCAGATGCTTAGCTGCTGTTTAATGATGGAGATTCACAATGCCTAATTTCCTAAAGCGCTTTAAAGGAGGAACAGAAGCACAGATACAGCAGATAACTCAAAATACAAAATTTAGTTTAACCATGTTCCAACTCAAGTCAACTTCTGAAGTTCTGCCTGAGTAAATAAATCCTTAGACATCCTACAGGCTTTCCACCAATCACACCACTCATAAGTTTGTGTTCACAATGCTTTGTCATAACAAGAGTGACACAAACGATTATCTTTTAATAAAAAGAGAAGAAACTAAAAGGCCATCATGAACTTACTCTTGTGTGACTGCAATCCCCTAAGCACAATTTTTTTTTTGCTTCAAAAGAAGATGCTATTTCAAGATTGTATTCCAACAAACCTGTGTGTTTTCATTCAGTGCTTTGTCCTGTTGCCATGGGGACACAGAGGCAGGCATATGAAAGGTGATACAACCATTCTGGCAAGTCAGTTCAGTGATATAGGTGACTTTGATCAGTACTGTAGAGTTTGGACATATATTTCCAACAGTTATTACAAAAATATCCTAAAAAAAAAAAAGAAAGACTATCTTTAATGAAATTATTAAAGCCCAGGCTGTCCAAAACAATAATTTAATTGATGGTTAAGCACACTTAAACCAAAGGCTAACAAAGAAAATACCACTTGGTTTTGCAGAAGTGTAATGAAAAATGATAGTAAGACAAGAAATGTTAAGCTTTCAATAGCTCTTTGAGATTTCGGGGCAAAACTAATCAAAAATAACTGAATTTAAAAGTCTGTTATTAAAATAAAAAAAGTTATGATTTACAAAGTTACAAAGGTAAGCTCCAAGGAGAGAAATATCTCTTTTATACAAGGTGTGGTGCATGTTTACAGAAAGAGCAATAGTGTTTTACAAGGACCAGATGTATAGTCCAAAGAAATTGCAGCTTCCCAACAAAAACATGACTCACAATCAGAAAAGATTTATCTCTAACGTGAGAAATGCAAAATCTTCAAATGGGTCAGAAACCATGATTTCCAACATACCGGTGCATCCTGGTCCAGTAGATAAGCTCCATCACCTTCACTGATAGCTTTGCGATATTCTCTATGCGCTTGTTGCTTTTCTTTAACCTATGAAATATGTTCCAAAATGAGTGCTTTCATCCCTGTATGTGGAACACTTAGCCAATATTCTCTTACATGACATGACTACCTTGCAATCCAGTCAAGGGCTAACAACAAAGAACTTGAGAGAAAACAAAACGTTGGTATCGCACATCTTCACTGCTAAACAAGTGCTTTCAAATCCTGAAACTGAAGGAGCTGCATCAAGCTTAATGTACAGTAACATTTTACCTGCCCAATGATGTGTGTTCCATTGACAAAAGCTTCAAATCCACAAACAGCAGCTTTATCATCCAAAGGAAAAACATACTTAGCTTCAATTGGACTACTGTTTTGATTGGTGTAGGTCTGAAACATCACTACCTGAAATGAATATATTTTTTTTCACAATTCTGCAATTCTAAAACATCAGTATCATCAGTTAGACATCAGTTTAACAGAATAATTGCACTGCAAGATACCAACATGTGTACCACAATCTAAAGATCTATTTATACATTAGAAACTAAGGTGTAACATTCACCGGTGCTTGACAAATAGGTATCTCCTGAACATGCAAGGAACTGCAGGATTTCTACTCTCTAAATCTTTAATTAAATCTCCTCTAGAAGAAGAGTAAACCATGACCTTATAAAAGTTATCTGATGTACTAGCAGAGCTGGAACTGCCAAGGTATTGCCTGTCAATAAGTAGTCACTACTGCCACATGCCTGTAATAGTTTCAAAGCTAGTAACATCTAAACAAGAAGGAAGAAGAAACCAAACTGCAAAGATCTATTTTTAAGATACCAAAGGGGATGTTTGTGAAAGCCTGTGTTAATTCTGCATGTGTAGCATCTGTCCTCCAGTGACAGAATTTCTGTCTCTGAGGTAGCAGATTGCATCTGACTTTCTTTTCATATCTGCTCTTCTCTTTACTTCTTTTGTGTCCTAACAAAACCCCAGGAATTCCTCATTCCCACTTGCTGCCATTCTTATTGCCCTTTATTATATCATCATTTCTGGTTTATGCTTTGTACCTCAGCTTTATAGGTTGCTTTTTGCTCTGGTGGACTGGGCAATAGAACAGATGATACTGTAAAGTAATTAATTCCATAGGAAGCAAGACAAAAAAATAAATATAATGCCCCTTGAGAAAAACAGAATCAGACCACAGTTGTGAGTGTCAGAATAATTTAAGCAATAACTCATGCAACAACAATTCTTTAAACTCTTCTCTCTCCTTTTTTTTTCCTCTGCTTTCCTTTTTAAGGCTTCAGGAAAAATGAAAACACGATTTGCTCTTATAAATCTACTTTAGCTCTGGAAACCCCTGAACACAGATTCCTGTGCAGAAAGACAGAAATGGCAAAGGTCGGTGGAACTATAGCTTTAGCATGATGAAGATTTAGCCAGGCAGAACTCAGTTACAGGGGTAGATTGTGGACTTATGCCTCAGGATAGAAAAAGGCAGGTGACTTGATGGAATGTGTCCTTAGGGCATACATAGTGGGAAAAAAAAAAAAAGAAACACAAATAAAACCAATCCACAACAACACCACAGGCTCTTACTTTTAGCCTGCCAGGTTAACGTTTATTAGCTAACTTTAAAACTAGAAAGCAAGTTGTTTTGTATTAATTGCTATTTTACTTGCAACAGCTATTTTAGGTTTTCCAACCACAGGTAAAACCAAAACACATAAATATATTTCCATGCTAGGTATTTCTCACCAGTGTCAGGTGGCAAACTCATCAAAGTCTTTAAAAGGGAACAGAATACATATGCTGCAGTGGAAAGTTTATTTGCAGTTGCAGGAGACAGAAAACTTACAAAAAAAAAGAAAAGCCAAGACTTTCACTGAGCAAGGAGCTTTTGGCACCTGTATGACAATACATCTCTGAGAATTTCAGTGGTGAGTGGAGACAGGACAAGGGGAAACGGCTGGAAACTGCAGCATAGGAAGTTCCGCACAAACATGCGCAAGAACTTCTTTACAGTGAGGTGACGGAGCACTGGAACAGGCTGCCCAGGGAGGTGGTGGAGTCTCCTTCTCTGGAGATGTTCAAGACCTGCCTGGATGCCTACCTGTGCGACCTGCTGTAGGGAACCTGCTTTGGCAGGGGGGTTGGACTCGATGATCTCTGGAGGTCCCTTCCAACCCCTACAATTCTGTGATTCTGTGATAAAAATAGTTTCCACTCAGCTTCAGGACTTCCCTTTATTTAAAGACTGAATTGCCTCTTTTTTTTTTTTTTTTTTTTAAATGGTTAAAACACTTTTTAAGAACTGAAATAAATTTTCAGGTCTGACATGGAAGAAGACAATACATAGCATACTTTACCTGTGCTACAAAGTCTATTATCCTTGCCTTGATATGAACACTTTCCAGAGGAACAGGATTTCCCAGTCTGTCTTGAAGACCAATTTTCACTGTATTTGAAATATTTGCACTGGGTAATTCATAGCCTGAAGAAAAGAGTGTGTGAAATGTTATAATTTTTTTTTTTTTAAATGTACACTTGGGAAGCGAGTTTGATAGTAATCCTATATTAATGGCCTGTGTTCATTTATGCAATTCAGAACATGTAAATTGAAAATAACACTCCTTTTCTGTCATGAATGCTTGCACTGCATTGTTGAGCTGTAGGCTGTCTAAGGGATCAAGAGCTCACAATAGGTCTTTAAGGTCTTACAAGGTTTTTGTTTAAAACATTGCATTTGAATTATTAAAAGACCATTTGATGATTCATGCAGAAGTGCTTCCTGTGCTTCTCTTGAAACATGCAGTGACAGGAGGAGCTGCAACAACTGCTGGGAAATCGACCTATAAGGAAATCTGCTAAATAGATGCTGTACAGATGCTACCTTGTAATGACTAATTTAGTAACACCCACAAATAAACTGCAAGTTATCTTTTAATAAGTTGGCTGGATGCAAGAATTCTAAAAGTTGTGACATATTTATAGGGAACACAGGTAGCAAGTCAATATGCAAACAGAAAACATTTCTTACTCTCATTCTGTGAATGACACTGTGACTCCAACTCAGTGTTATCTTGCTCGGTTTGCACCCCAATTTCAGGCTGGAATTGTTTTATCTGATCTTCAGCGAGGCAAAACTTAACAACGTATCTAATTTTAACCTGTGTAGTTTTGTACACAACAAATTCATCATCCTGGTAGAAACAAAGAAAGCTATTTTACAGTAAGAACAAAGCTCTAGATAACATTTTAAAAAATGTCTATCTATTATGAGGTAAACCTAAATGACATCATTTTTATAAGTAATAATTTCAATATCACAGATTGGATACTTACAGGATAATTAAGTAACAATAAATAAAGAATACTAACATATTAAATATTACTTTCCAGCAAGAACTTCCAATCTCTTCATGACTAATAACTTACAGCCTTACCTGTAAACCTGACAAAAATGATTTTATGTTTTATTGTCTAGTGATTTAGTGTCTGAACTGAGACATACAGGTTATACTACTTCTATTATCTATCAATGGTATAAAAAAATCCCAAAGTTGGTGTCTTCTCAACTACTGTAGGATCAGTACCTCAAAGTCTGAAGAGATGCCTGCTGTTGTGCGGACTCCGTGCACACTGCTGTAACCTGATGGGGCAGCAGTTAATGAAAAATCTCGTTTGTACAAATCTAAGCAGGATCCAAGTGCCACATCACAAACCGCCAGGAGTCGGGTTCCATCCATTTCACTGGGTGAAGAATACTTAATGCTGGCACTGTACGTAAGGAAAGATCATGCATCTGTTATTACAATTGATACTGATGTAAACACCGTCAGAATTTCTGCTTACACAAGTACTTCTGAACAGATGAGGAGGAAAAATTAAATTACTTATAATTAAATACCTGTGAGATTATTAAACATTACATCTACTTCATTTGCAAAGTAAAAAGAATACACAAAGGATAAAGTAAAAAGATACTGTCATTATTCAGACCTGACAGAATCACTGAAGTAAATGCCGCTTCCCAGATTCCCAGTGTCAGTTCTTTCCACACCATGATCTTCAACAACCACTTTTGGCATTAGGAGTCCTCTGGAGAGAAAAAAATCATTCACACGATGAATGAAGTTCAAGATACTTATGCATAAAGTATGTGGGCAGGTACATACTGTGCAGTTATGAACCACAGAGGACTAAATCAAAATACACCTTACAGAAACAACAGGAAAATAAAGTATATAACAAAAAATAAATCCCAAAGCCATGTGAATCACCAAGACACTGATTATATAAGCAAGTAAAGACTGCTTTTTTCATTTAGCAGAAAACAATACATTTCCTGGAGTCACTGCCAAATATTCCAAATAATTTTTTAGATGTGTTATTAGATGAGTAGTTCATAGCATCATAGAATCATGGAATCACCAAGGCAGAAAAAGACCTCCAAGATTATCTAGCCCAACCATTCACCTACCACCAATATTTCCCAACTAAACCATGTCCTTTGTCCCACACCTGTATGTTTCCTGAATACAAGTTCTACATTCCTAGCAGCTGTGCTGTATTAAATTTCAAACAACCTGCATGAAATTTCTATATCAAACCAAAAGAAGATTTTAAGGTAGTAGGGGATGGATGCTCAGAAACTTCTCCAGTATTTGATTTGCAAATCTGTTAGTGTAGTGATATCATTCTTAGACTGCTCAAGAGACATTTGATTTGCTGCTGATTGATCCTCACACAAAGCCTTTTAATACAAAGTATGCAAGAAGACAAAACATTTATCTAAGTTGAACTGTTTTGTCACTTAAAAAATTTGCAATATAAGGAAAACAATGTTAATATGACTTTTGAGATTATTTCAACTTTGATAGCACTGTGTCACACATTTTTTCCAACATTCTTAAATTTTCAGTGGCTTCAAGATGATGAGGATTTAAAAATGTTAGGCAACTTGTATTAGATTTTAGATATGATATTATAACCAGGCCTGAGTGAATTCACAGAATTCAGTAATTAAACCAGATGTTGTTATAACAGAAAATTATCATAATCTAAAAATTTGTCATTTAAAGTGGTCACAGGCAAATCATGGAATCAAATCATCTGAGTTGGAAGGGACACTTAAAGGTCATCTAGTCCAACTCCAGCTGCAGTGAAGGGACACCTACAGCTCAGTAAGCTGTTCAGAGCCCCATCCAGCCTGACCTGGAATATCTCCACCACATCTCCAGTGCCTCATCAAACTTCTGTCAAAATCCTTTTTCCTTATGTCCATTGTAAACCTTCCCTCTTCCACTTTGAAACCATTTCCCCTTATCCTACCACAACAGACCCTACTAAAGGAAGAGTCTGTCCCCTTCCTTCTTATAGCCCCCCCTTCAGATACTGAAATGCTGCTCTCAGATCTCCCTGCAGCCTTCACTTCCGCACTCTGAACAGCCCCAGCTCTATCAGCCTGTCCTTGTAGGGGAGCTGTTCCATCCTCTGGGTCATTTCTGTGGCCCTTCTCTTGTGCTCTAAAAAATAATGTATAGAAGTAGGAGGACACCATCAATGGACTTATTTCCTAAAAGAAAATAAATTATCCACATGGCCATTATTCTCCTACTCTCTCAATTTTGTCATCTTTCATCTGGATTTAAACTTCACTCCTCTTCGTCTTACTCAAACAGCTGCATCTCAATGCTAATCCAGCTGTAAGGTAATTACAAAAGGTTGATTTTCTTTCCTGCAGAAGTGTTTAAGTATTCATATAAATGTTGACAGTAAAAATTAATTTAAACATAATGCAAAAGAGCTTCAAAAAAAGCATTTTTAAAGATGAAAATATACAATTAAAACATATTCAATGTCACACATACACACACACACACACATACAAAAAAAAAAAAAAAAAAAAAAAGGGAATGTATATTTTTACCTGGAAAGAATTCCCATGAAATTCCTTACAGATGATGCATGGAATAAAGACTGAACATTTCCAAGACTGCCCACAAATTCTGCTGTTTCACTTACTCTGCCAATCCTGTATACTTGTAAAATTCTCACTGAACAGCCACTGCAAAAAATTTGAGAAGATCTTTGATTTAGAAAATGTGTACCTGAAGCCCTATTCATTACTTTCCAAATATTTTGTAAAACACTTGGAAATAAATATTGAGAGGGAAAGTGAGCAAAACTAAAAGACAAATATCTTATTCTCCTATAAATAGACATGAAAAACTGAATATGAGCATTTTCAGTTTTTTCAACTTCCACTTGACTCTAGTGTAGGTAAATCCACTTGTTCTGCAATCCTGTTAGCTAATCAGTACTACCAAGTAGCAGAACCTGATAATTCAGTGCTACCTAGAAGTATTTTGTGCATGACAACTTGCATGCTACTGGAATCATATAACTGTTAAACACTCACTTGTAATTGTTTTTTAACACTTGTCGTTCAACGCTGAGAAATTCGTCACTCATTGGATCAATGGCATCAATCTTGCACCTCAGGGCCTGGTATTTGGCCAGAGATGATGGGTTTGGGCACGACATACTTGTTTCCCGTATATTCAGCATGTCTCGCATGAGCTAGGAAATGAAGACAGAAATTTATGAATATTTGATACATTTTAATTAAGAAAACACACAAAACAGAATAAAATTATATGCAGTGACAGTGTAGTAACAATGAAAAGAGCATGCAAAAGAACATTTCCACTTACTAGACAAAAAAGTGGAACTAAATCCCATGAAAACAAATCAGAACTAAAAAGGTGTATGAATAACAGTGATAAATGACTTCTGTACAACTCCAAAGTCTGGATGGAGGCTGTTCATGACAGCTCTGCCACACAGTATTTGTGCTTGGATATCATTTTGCTTTATATTCTGAGGCAATTTTTATTTAGATTGCAAACTTGTCATATTGTCCCTGATGCCACCATCCAGTTAGGGCAGTAGAGTATGGCATTCATATAATTTTCTCACATCAGGAGAAAGAAGGGCATTGAACAAATAAACAAAGCAAAGAAGGCTATACTTCACTGAGTCATGGCAAAGCTTTAGGAGACATAGTAGTTTTTTTTATATCAGAAGTATCAAAAGGTTTTCATTATCAAAAGGTTTCTGAGGTTAAAAGCACTATTAATATTTATTCTTTTAGAACAACAAAGAGCCTCTCTTCCTCTTTTCCCCTTAATTTCTTGTAACTTAAAGAAGATTAGCTTGTGAGTGTCTTTTGCCAAAACCAAGAGCTATGGCTGCCATAATCTATGGAATTTACATCATAACTGAATCACAAGGAAGAACATTCCAGTTTGCTCTATAGTTACAACTGTGAGATCAGTGTCACAGCCCTGAGTGTCCCCCTCCCCTCCCAAGGCTCTGGCTGCTGGGGCTCAGGGCCAGTTTTGATGGTGCAGCTGCAAGGCCTGGAAGAGAGCAGTGGGAAGACTCAGTAGAAGCCTGCTCCTTCTCCATTCGAGAGATATCTTTAAGCTGAGGCTTTTGCCCTTGGTCTCTTTGCTGAGCTATACTGCAGATATGTTCAGACCCAGTTCCTGTGGACTTGAGTTCCTTGTCTGACTGCAGACAAGACAGACAAGCCCACAGTGAGGCTCGTCTGACCCTGTCTAATGTCACCAGCAGTCACTGTAATCTACTCTGCTCATCCTAATTGGGTGCTGTGGGACTGTGCCCCTGCCACTGAAGTGACTGCCCTAGCCTTGCTCTCTTTCACTCCAGCCCTGGCTCTCTGCCCTCATAGCCACCGGGTGCAAGGGCTGCATTTATGTGCACACTCAGCACACCTCATTGTCAGTCCCCCAGTCAGGCTGAGAATTTCCCAGCTACTTTCTGCAAATGGACTGATTTGCAGCAGAGTAGCTGAACACCCAATTGACTGAATGACTGAGCAGCTTACAAATGAAGTGACAAATTAACACAGGAGCAGTGGAGCTGTGGGAGAGATCCCTAGAGATGCCCCTAGGCAGAGCAGCTGTGCTTAGGCCTACTGACAGATGCTGCTTGCAGTCCAGGGAACTCCCCTAGGTTGTTTGTGTTGTAAATGTAGGAACAGACCAAACTGTACAGAGATAATTAACTTCAAATTATCTCTAGAAACTGTTTCTGCACAGACATATAACTACCAGAGGGAGTCCAGTGGAAGGCTACAAAGATGATTAGGGGCTTGGAGCTTCTCCCTTAGGAAGAAAGGCTGAGAGATCTGGGGCTGTTCATTCTGAAGACTGAAGGGGGATCTTATCAGTACCTATGAATATCTTGTGTGTGGGTGTCAAGAAAATGGGACCATGCTTTTTTCATGGTGCCCAGCAACAAGACAGCAGACAATGGGCACTAAGTGGAACACAGGAAGTTCAATTTGTATATAGTTTATAACAGCCAATAGAAACTGATTGTGTGTGCTGGATGGTTGCCAGCATCAGCAGGATGATAAACACCAGTTCTGTGAGTCTCATTTAATCCAGCTTCAGATGTCATTCATAACGAATGCAGTGGAATCTATCACCATCTAGATGGCAACTGGCCTTCCTCTTCAATGTATTCAGTTCAGTTCCCCCTGTGAATGTTACTCTATTTGTAAGATTCCCCATGGGAGTTGATTGTACCCCTGTACTCAGCACTGGCGAGGTTGCACCTCGAGTACTGTGTTCAATTTTGGGCCCCTCACTATGCAGAAGACACTGATGTCTTGGACTACGCCCAGAGAAGGCCCAAATGAAGCTGGTAAAGGAGCACAGATCTTACAGGGAACAGCTGAAGGAACTGGGATTGTTTAGTCTGGAGGAGACTCAGAGGAGACCTATCTGTTCTCTACAATTGCCTGAAAGGAGCTTAGGGTGAGATAGGTGTTGGCCTCTTCTCCCAGGTGACTAGCAATGGCACAAGGTGGAGTGGCCTCAAACTGCACCAGGGGAGGTTCAGGCTGGATATTAGGGAAAATTTCTTCTCCGAAGAAAAAGTGAAGTACTGGAACAAGCAGCCCAGGGAAGTGCTGGGCTTACTGCCCTTGAGGTTTTCAAGGTAAGAGTGGATGTGGCACTGAGGGACACAGTTAGTGGCATGGTAGGGATGGGTTGATGGTTGCACCGGATGATCTTAGTGGATCTTTTCCAACCTTAATGATTCTATGATTTCAGTAAATTATTTTTTAAACCCACAGTCTGACTTGTTGTGCAGTGCAAAATATCCTGTTAATTTATCAACTGATTGTGTTCAATACTGGTGTAACAGGGCAGACTGGGGCTTACTAGCAGTCTGGAAAAGTTACCTGGCACAGGTCCTGTTTTCTAGATAACAGCCTTTTGGAAACTTCATAGTCTATTTCAGTTTTGTGACGTATAAGTTGATAGAATTCCATCATCATCTCTTGCAGTGCTGCCTCATCAGCTCCTTCATTGAGTGCATTCTTTACCTGAAGCAAAATACCTTCTGCTTTGCTCACCTTTAAAAGAAGAGATTACTGAACTGAAAAACATTACAAAATTAATGAAAGAGCACAAAGCAATAAATACTGAATGTGAGTGAATTAATTCCATGCTGAAACAAAACTTTAACTCTTTGTTAGTGAAACAAAGTGCACAAAAATTTACTTACATCTCAGTGTGAAACCAGTTTTAAAATGTTGGATATTATTCAGCCCTCATACTGGACAAAGTACCCCAGAAGAGCTAAGAGCCAGTATCATAATTCCTCAGAAGTAAAGCAGAGTTTGAATCATGTTGAAAGACAATGACCCTTGACATTATTTCAATTCACATCGTTAGCTTTAATGTATCATTGAAATAACTGCAGAAATAACATGATAATAAATTTCTTGATAAATTTCTAAGTGCACTGGTTTATTCTAAATACATAAAGCTGAGCAAAGTACCATTTATAAAACGCAACCTAGTGATCAAAAATAATCTTATGAATCATTTTAGACAGTTTGTATAGACAGGTAGGATATAGACTTGCTTGTGTCTCTGTATATTCATTCCCAATTGGAAATTTTTCACAGAGTACTCTGTTATTTCATGTTATTATAACCACTGGCAACAGCTTGTAAGATGCTGTCACTAGAGGAGGCATAGTAGTCTTACTGCAGTTCAATACTGACCTAAGGCTGGACTCGGTCTCACAAAAGCCTTTAGAGGAAATTGGACAGTTAATCTAACTGAACAGCAATCCACTTCCTTGTTTCAATAACCCAGAGATTTTTTTCTTTCTACACAAATGCTCTGTCTCTTGCCAACTCATTATAAGTGGGAAAAGGTAGTGAAAACAGTTTGAGTACATTCTTACAGACTGATCCATTGGGCTGCAGTTCTGTGATTCAGCTTTTTCAAAAGCTATCAGTGATTGGGCATTTTTAATGAAATTATCAAATATTTATCAAATTTCACCTATTTGAAATAGGTGGGATCTTGATAACCAAACCAAATGCACCTCATAAAAAGCATCTACCACAAGCAGAATTTCCTTTCTATTTTTACTGTTTTATAAAATGCACTTGCTACTGTCTCTGAGCAAATGTATAAAACAGTACTAATGTACTACTTCTGATGGGTACTACTTACCCATCAGAACCTACATAAATGTATATTTCCACATCAAAAAGTGAAAGGATTATTTTCCTATGTAAGACAATCGAAGAGAATCAAGAGCCTTCTGTCTTAGTATGAGGGCAAAATCATTCTATGTTTAGGCAACTTCCACTGGCAAAATTTTTCCAGTTTAAAATCAACCTAATTTCCAGGTTATTTTTTCCTTCAGTAGTAACAGAAATTAACAAAGTTGCAGTCTTATGCAGCTATAACTTAGATTATATTATATTATAAGTTAAGTTAAATGAATAAACATTAGACTCTTAAATGTCTAGGAAGGAAAGCAAAACCACCGAAGTAAGTGGAAAAATAGGATTAAATAAACCACAGAGTTAAAGGGGGATGGATAAGCAATTACTCTCATTAACAGTTATACCATATGAAGAACTTAACAACAGTTAATTAAATGCTAATTATGTGTTGTCTGGTAATACACAAATGCACTATAATTAAAATGATTTTTCTAATACTAGAGAGTGGCTGACTGAAATATGGTTGAAATATATTGGCAGAAGACAACAAACTGCTATTATGCACTATTTTCTGTAACTATCTTCTTAGGGAACTTGATTTATTACGCAGAAGGGATCCTACAATAAACATTGTATTTTAAATTTCTATAAGATGGAAAAGACAGCCATCTGCTCTAGGGAGTACAGGATGTTTTTAGTGTCATAATTCTAAAGCAACATTTGAGGTTAAAATTTCTGAAGCATGAATATGTTGTCATATAGGAATACTCAGTGTAATGACCAATTCCAATGTGAAACACAACATTCCTGTTTGCTGGGGAAAAATTACTTATAGTAGCATTCACATACGTGTTCTCATGGAGTAAAAAGAATTAACTTACATCATTTAGGCTGATGTTGTTTACTGATTCAAGCAGTAGATTGTCCAGGTGGCCAAGAGCTTCTGCCCAGATCAACTCCACAAAGTCACTAACTTCTTGACATACAGCACTTGAATTGATGGATTCTTCTAAAAGTAACTGTAGTAAAACAAACACAAATCAGTGTACGGCAAAGATGCAATGTGAGAACTTTCTTGTTCATATAAACTATACGGTTTGCAATACACATTAACGCTTAATTTAATTGCTTCAGTCCCATCAACTTGAAGGGAAAGTTTGTCTTCCCTTCAAGTGGAGACCTTCCAAGTGAAGACCATGGCAGGCAAGTGGCCAAGATTTGTCTTTCTGAAATTTCAGATATAACATGCTACAGAATTCAGAAGTTGATTTGCTTGATATCTTTATCATTACATAGTACTATCAGCCCTAGGGGCCTGTTTACACAGCTGATAAAAGAACAGATATGAACACTGGAGATAATGTAACTGTAGAAAAAAATTGGAGCAGTAAACTAAAAGGAGAATAGAAGGGCCATGAATATAATTGCAATTCATACATCCAGAAAGAAAACAGATTTTGTGATCTAGGGAGCACTGTTAAAATATTTACAGAATCACAGAATCACAGAATTGTAGGGGTTGAAGGGACCTCCAGAGATCATCGAGTCCAACCCCCCTGCCAAAGCAGGTTCCCTACAGCAGGTCGCACAGGTAGGCATCCAGGCAGGTCTTGAACATCTCCAGAGAAGGAGACTCCACCACCTCCCTGGGCAGCCTGTTCCAGTGCTCCTCACCTCACTGTAAAGAAGTTCTTGCACATGTTTGTGCGGAACTTCCTATGCTGCAGTTTCCAGCCATTTCCCCTTGTCCTGTCTCCACTCACCACTGAAAAGAGTCCGGCCTCGCCATTCTGCTCCCCACACCTTAGATATTTATAGACCTGGATCAGGTCCTCTCTCAGTCTTTTCTCAAGGCTGAACAGACCCAGTTCACTCAGCCTTTCTTCATACGGGAGATGCTCTGGGCCCTTCACCATCTTTGTAGCCTTCTGCTGGACTCTTTCCAAGAGATCCCTGTCTTTTTTGTACTGGGGAGCCCAGAACTGGACGCAGTACTCCAGATGAGGCCTCACCAGGGCAGAGTAGAGGGGGAGGATCACCTCCCTCGACCTGCTGGCCACGCTCTTTTTAATGCACCCCAGGATGCCATTGGCCTTTTTGGCCACAGGGGCACACTGCTGGCTCATGGCCAACCTGTCGTCCACCAGGACACCCAGGTCCCTACTTGAACATTTTGTCATTGTCATTCTTTAACTCCAGTAACTGCTATTAAAGTTGATGTTGTCAAACAATTCTCATACATTCGGATACAATACTTTACTTGCTTATATAATACTTTGCTTGTTTATAAACCATATGGCCCTGCAGTCAGTAGGTGACACGGATGTGGGACTGATCTATTCTCCAGCTGTGTTCTAAAACATAAGTTAGCCATGACAGGAGAGAGGAGCAGATGAAGTATAGTGAGAAAGTAAATGGAAAAAAAAATTTGGTCAGACTGCAACCATTCTAAACAGCAGTAAACACTGAATGAAAGTGACTTTAGAGAGCAGACTTCTGCAGCTATTGCCACTGAGGGGACTTCTGTTACAGATTTTAATGACATCTACACCAAGCCTATGATATCTGTATAGTTTGCAAAACAATTATGACAAAGTCATACAGGACACAATAATTCTGGTTGCTATATTAGTACATCCTTTTTTTTTTCCAGTAGGTAATGGACCTACTGAGAATTAGAAGTATGATGAATATGGTTGCATTTGCTTTTAGCGTGTTTAATGACTTACAACATTCAGTCAATATTCCTAAAAAAAAAATAAAAAAAAATCAGAACGTTTGCATATGAACAATTTCCTTTAACATATGACTGTGTGACTGTACAAACAATGTTTACCACATTCAGAAAACTGGAAACTGAAACAAATAACGAAGGATGGAAAAGTGTAAACACACAAACTGTACAAGCCTTTTGTAACTTTGTAGAAGCCAAACATTCTGCTTCTGGTGGAAAAGTTTCTCTGAGCAGGAAATCCTGGCTCTTCAGGTTTGCAACAAGAATATCATAGTTTTCTCTTATTTCTTCAGCAGTCTTATTTATTATGCATTGTTTATTTTTCTGAAAATGGAAAGAATAAAGTTAGATGGAGAAAGAGATAAACAGAGTTGCTGGAACAATTCACCAGACGCTACAGTAAGAATTGACAAATCCACACAGCTTTTGGGATGAGATTTAACATGCTGCCAGCAAGGCACTACGACCATGAGGGCTCATGGAACAAACAGGGAGCTCCACATGCAAACCCCACAGTGACAAGAGAGTTTCATCTAAGCGTGTACTGGAAAACTTGTTCTATCATTTGAGCTATTTCAAATGCATCCTCCTTTGACTCTCAAGAGAATGTCCAGTCTATCATTCTTTGCAGCATTTTAGCAGTTCAACATGCCATTCTAGTTTAGTCATTACCAGGCACTTGTATATGAGTATATGAGGCAGGTGCATCCAGGACTATGCTGTGTTGCTGTCAAGTACCAAACAGTTCTGAGAGATTTGCAGGCAAGCAGTGTAAAAGGGGCCAAGTACGAACCAGACCTCTTACTTTAAAGCTAAGAGAATGACCTCCTACTATGTAAATGTGAGAATCAGCCTGCAAGTAAAAATGAAGAACACCTAGCGCTCTCCAGGACAGGAGTGCTCAAGGCATACAAAGAAACAAGCAGGAAATGTCAATAAGTGGCTCATACCTTGGTTCCATTTGAAGCACTGAAGTGTGCATATAATCGAAACAGAAACTCAAACTGTTCTTGAGAACAATGTAATTCAATAACTACAAAATCCTTGCTTCCCTTGGAGTTAATCTGAATGGAAAGAGAGAGAGACCCCAGCTCCCAATGTAATACATAGGCATGTTTCATTCACATGATATTCACATGATATTGCAACACATACTTTCCCCATCCTACTTAATTTTTTCAACCCACTTGGAACCATACAGTGGCTAAGAAAACAAACAGAATTATTATTATTAGTTTTTATATCATAGTAATAAGCAGAAATTCCTCTCAGGGCTTCACTGTATTGATTGATGTACAATCCCATCATTGTTGTGTTTCAAAAGATTTTTAATAAAAAAAGATTAATGCTTCAATTAGATTTAAAACATAACAGCCATGAGAAAATGTATCTAGCCAGAAGCATGTATGTATTATTCTACTGCAATAACTAGGTGAGAACACTACAGTGATAACAGAGAAGTTTCATGTTGGTAGAATTAGGCCGCACTGAAAGACAGAAAGCACTGAAGTTCTTTTCAATACAGCTCCTTGCATTGCAGGACACGGTAACATTAAAGAGTTCTTGCTGATGTGTGTGAAATCATAAAACTTTTACTCATCCACTGATCCTCCTACACTGTCTCACAGTAAGAGACAAGCTTACTTTTTCAAGGACGTTGTATTTTGCAACTTCAAAATCTTGAGGAAAAAAAGGAGCATTTTCACTGTAAAATCTGGAATAGAATCAGAACAATTAAAACCACACGTACCCAGTAAATACTGTGATACTACAGGCTGCAACATCACATCCTACGGTAAGAATTAATGTAAGAACATGGAATTATTTTTAAGCCACAAAATAACAACAAAGTCTTGAGAAATAAAATCCCATACTGCCAAGCTGCTGACCCACACAAGGAGGCACAAGTGTCTGGTGTGAACCTGAAGATAATAAACTCGATTTCAGACCTCATTCTTTAGAAACACTTTGGAAGCAACAAAGTAAATGGATTTCCACTGATTGATTGCACGTTAATTTTTTTAACAGCTTGGTCAGCATCAGCTATCTGTGGTGTCCAGTGCTAAGCCCTCCCTCATTCTTAACTTTCACATTAGGATACGTGATGTAATCATATCATTCAGCATCAGAACATTTAGATCAAACACAAATTCTAGTACATTCCTGGAGAGTAGCTAAATACCTTCTTTAACATTGAACAGCAGCCTCTGAAAGTGAAAGCTGCATTTTATAAATAGATTTAAAAACAGGAGTGTTGGAGCTGGCTCTGTTCTTTTATTTCTACATAGGTATAGAAAATGAAAAAAGCTTTTTCCTCCCCTGCACTGTTTTTAAGGTAATGAATCATCTCTGATGCTGAAACAGAACGGAAAGTGTATTTTTTTCTTTTATATAATTATCTACATAGCTGTATCAATATACATCTTTAATTTTGTATTATTTTACCTGAGAGTTCCCACTTTGAATTCAATTCTCTTGTCACTTTCTCCTATAACAGTAAGATTGGTATCATTGCTTTCATTTTGATTTGTGGCAATTTTATTTTCAGAAGGTGACAAGTCTTCCAAACCTGCAATCAAAACCTTTATTTACTTCATATGATATGGCTTCACTAATTTAACATAACCTATGATCACCTGCCTTGATCTGCTGGTGATACTTTGCCTAATGCAGCCAAGAATGCTGTTAGCCTTCTTGGCAGCAAGGGCATACTGATGGCTCACATTCAACTTGTTGTGTACCAGGACCCTGGGTTCTGTTCTGTAAAGCTGTTTTCCAGCTGGACGACCCCCAGCATGTACTGGTGCACAGGGTTCTTCCCCCTCAGGTGCAGACTTATTGAACCTCAGCTTCCTGTCAGCCTGTTTCTCCAATCTGATCAGGGCTCTCTGATGACAGCACGACTCTGGTCTATCAGCTGCTCCCCTCAGTTTTGTGTAACCAGCAAACTTGCTGAGGATACATTCTGCCCCATCATCCAGATCATTAATGAAGGTGCTGAAGAGGACTGGCCAACATATTGACCCCTGAGGCACTCTGCTCCTTACTGGCCTCCAACAAGACTTTGCACAACAGGTCCTCCAGGCCTGGTCATTCAGTTTTTGATTCACCTCACTATCCAGACCATAATTCAACAGCTACTCTATGAGAACATTATAGGAAGAAGTGTCAAAGGCCTTACTGAAGTCCAAGCAGACAACACCAACTGCGCATCTTTCATTTATGAGACCAATCGTTTCATTTCAGAAGCTTATCAAACGGGTTAGGCACGACTTCCCCGTGATGAATCCATGCGAATAACCCCTGATGGCTTTCTTGTCCTTCAAGCATTCAGGAATGGTTTCTAGGATTAATTCCTCCAACACATTTCCACCTTTGTTTTCAGAAAAAATCGTATTTATGTCACCTTTATTTCCAGTGTTTATGGCTGCTGATTTCCTAAAAGTTTATTTAAAATACTGACTTTCTAAAACATTATTTCCCAAACTAACAGGTAAATAGATAAACCATGCAAACACACCTACCATGTCCACCTGGCCATTGGTTAGAAATGTTGCCTTGTGATGTATTAACCTCAAATGCATCAGTTATTAAAAGCTTCCCATTTTCAACTGATTTCCAGACAAAATCTGCATATAAAACAGGCAGCTGATATTTCTGAGTAATTTTTAGATCATGATGACTGAGGACACTGGCATTATCCACAAGAACATGTGTACACTGAAAGACAAGTTACAATTAGAATCGTTATGCACACAAAACTAGTGTTAATCCAAATATTGTTTATTTGCAATTCATGCTGGTAAAATCCTACAGTCTAAAGGAAACATTTAAAAACACAACATTCTTGCACAGGATTTTAATTGAAACATCTAATTTAGAGACACAATACCTCTGCATTTCCTCCACAGTCAGCAGAGAGGATTCTTTCAGATGACAGCTCAGGTGAGCTAAAATACATGTAAGTTGCCTTGAAAGTATTGCCTCCTATTTATTTTCATGGAAACTACAGCAGATACCAAAAGCACAATAATACTATTTGATAGAGCAAATTCTCAGCTACAAAACATTATTTTTCAACATAGTCACCATCATGAGACACGCATTTTTGTCAGTGAGGACAAGAGCTTACATGCTGCTCTTGTAAAAATCTGCACCAGCAGAGGCAGCCCACTGCTGCTGTCACCACTGCTGAAATGCACCACCCACCACCTCACTGTACTCACATCAACTGTTTGCTCTCCAGAAACATTCAGCAAGCATCAATTAATTGAATGGCCCACCTTTGCACTTCCATGTCAGATGCCATTCTGACAGACTGCCCCCTGCTGCCATCTGTCACATGGCAACAAATGCAATGGAATATTGGTGGGAAGGTTCAGCCTCTACTGCCGTACTACCAGCATCAGTCTCTGATGTTGTGGGCCAGCATAATACAGGAGACATTACTTCCAGAGCACCTCTCGTATGTAACTTCCATCACTGTGCAGTAACTACAGAGACTGAGGGTGACCAGGTGTCCAATGTTCTGCAGAGCTTTTAGAGCACACTGGAGGTCCAATAACGGGGCAAGCTCTATAGCAGCTGACTAGTTACAAACCAAAAGCTCTTTGGGAGAATGGTAAAAAAGCTGGTTAGGATCCTTTAGAATCATAACATGCTTTGGTAGCTTTGTAAGGGTCCTTACAGCACTTTACTGGAATCATACATATGCTGAAAGTTAAAACTATCCACATAATTTCAACAGTAGAGTCATGTCCTGGTAGGAGAAACTGAGGACACCTGGGCTGTCCAACATGGAGGAGGCCAAGATGTGACCTCATTTGTCTCTGTAGCTCCCTGAGGAGGGGATGCAGAGGGAGATAGGTGCTGGGCTCTGCTCCTGGAAGCAGCACAAAGCTGTACCAAGGGAGGGTCAGACTGGGCATTATGAGACATTTCTGCACTGTGAGGGTGGACAGACACTGGAACAAGCTTCCTAGAGAGATGGGTGATGCTCTGTGGCTGCCAGCGTTCGAGGTGCATTTGGATAATAGTCTCAATTATACGCTCTATTTCCTGGTTACACAGGAAATAAATCTGGAACTTACTTTGTTATTAAGCACAAAATTAATTACTCCACCATTTTCTGTTATGCATGCTTTCAGACTGTTCCTCTTCTGAATGGGCAAGTACTTCACTTTAACAAAGAACACACAGTTTGCAAAGATTGTCATTGCTCTCCTGTTAAAACAGAGAAGGGTTTGTTTTTTTCTTTCGGCTAAGAAATCTTTATTTCCTATTACCCACCTAAGATGTTACTTACGGAGAGAGAACAACATAATTCATTTGAATTTGGGGTTCCAAGAAAACCTAGAAAATCATCGCTATCAGATGCATTTTTATATATGCCTGTGTAATCTGAACTATAGGAAAGGCCAAATCAACTACTGCCCTATGCAGCTGAGAGAGCCAGCAATGTGCTGGTTGAGGTGAGGCATATAGCAGCTCGAGGATCAAAGAGCACATTAAATTGTTATATACTTGTATTTTGTGCCTCTTGTGTTTTACTGTCTGACATTAGCAGTACATGTGTCATAAAGTACTCTCGGCTCATGCACAGAATAAACCCTGTAACTCTTTTTTTCCATAAGGAGGAGGTTTTCACAAGATACTACATTATCTGAGATGCTAACAATCTTTTAAGATGCAGACTTATAACTTGGCTCAAGTAGATTAATTTGAGTCACATACAAAAGAAAATGTGCCACTGCCAAAAGCTTCCGATATTAAAAGCGTAGAGGGCACTGCCTCCTTTTGCACCGATCTCTGCGTGCACTGACTTTGCTGCAAATTCTCTACAGCAGACTCTGGACACTGCTGAAATTTCAGCAGAAGTCACCTCCTCAGGAAATAATGGATTCCATTTGCACAGCCTAACCCAAAAGATTATTAGGAGGTTATTGAAATACATACAAGCTGTCACAAGCCCTGCCAACACAGTCCTGGAAACTCAAGAAGCAACTGAATTGTTTGTGGTGCAAAACTCCACAAAAATATTTTATATGACATTTCCTTATGAAAGTTATACTGCTAAGGACTAGGAACAAATACTGAGAGAACTGATCTGTAAGTAAACTTTAAATGAGCCAGTAAGAGGAAAGGAAAGCTTGAGGGAAGGGCAGATTCACTTCCTCAAAGTTTGCCTGCAAAGTGAAGTTCCCCCCACCTAGCAAACAAAGCTTGTTTCTGCTCCCAGTGTGACAGCTGTCCAATGACTCCTGATCCCACTTCTCTCTGTATGTTTTAGGTGAAAGATGGCTTACACTCACCTGCTCAGGCAGTTCCCTGCCTGAAGGACCTTCTGCTTCCCCAGTAGAGTGAGGTGCAAGTGAAGAGCCTCGGTGGTGGGAGGGAGGATGGGCTAAGGCAGCTCACACCCACCTGAACATCGTCCGAGGGGACAGCAGCAACAGTTGTGACCCTGACAAATAAACAAACTGAATGACCAAGTGACGTGCAGCCTTCTGCGGAATAAGGAACACTAACACTTCCGGGGCTTGAGGGAGGAGGAAACTCACTGTTAAAGTGCAAGTGAACTTTGAAAGACGCTCCAGACAGCAGGAAGTAAAGCTGAAACCTCTTTAGTCTGTACCCAGCAGCTTTTCTTTCTGCTGAGTGAAGTAGGCTTTATTCCCTCTCATTGCTGATGAATGCTGCCACCCAATATTAGCCTCTCTTCTTTAGCCAATTTCCCCTGAGGATCAAACTTATCAAGGAACTTTAGCAGTGTTTGTCTTTACTCTTCTTGAACTGCAGAGTTTCCAGAATTCAAAATAAGAATAGAAAACGACAATATTTAATGTGAGAGTGAAGAATGGTGAACAGTTTTATAACTGGAATAAGGCACTGATGCAGCACTAAGTAAGAAGTTGTGCAATGGAGAGCTGCTGACAACTGTCACTGGTTTAATTCTTGCAGTTTTAGTTTATCTCAGTGGAGATCCACAATTCCCTAATGACCTCATAAGAATTTCACACAGGTACATGAGCTTGTAATTATGATTGGTTTGCAAGTTTGGGATCATCATTAGAGATAGATTACGCTTTTGACAGAGGAGAGCACCAAAGAGAATTTTGTCCTCATTCAAAAATAGACGAAGAATAACCTGGAACTCAATGTGGGCCTTCAGTGTGCAGGGATACTGAATTTTCATGAGGATGTTAATGCATTAAAGGTGACGTTGTGCTTGAAAAGGAAGGGGTAGAAATCCTTGCGTTTTTTTGGGGTTTTTTTTGTTTGTTTGTTTGTTTTGTTTTTGTTTTTGTTTTTAATATATATTTCCAGCACTGTAGCTTCCCACTCTTAATGCAGAACTCAGCTTCACGAAAGCTGTGCAGGTGATATATTCATAACTGGCTTAAGTGCAGGAAAAGTGATGGGAAGTTTGGAAAGAGCCACAGCTGATGTGAGATTTAGCAGTTGGCAGCTGAAAGAGCTGCCCTGGTTTTACGCAGCCGGGAGCTCGGTCCTGTACCAACGTGCAAAGAGGAGCAAAACCCGGCTCCAGCTGGCAATGTGTCACCAGGTTTTGGAGTGAGATTCTCCACTGTTTGCTGGAGCTCTGAGGAAACTGTTTTGCTCAGTAAGAGAATTCCTAAAGAGCAAAACGTCAAAAACTCTCTGGTGATGGTGACAGAACGTGAGGGAATGGCACAGAGCTGTGTGGGGTGAGGGGCGGGTCAGGTTGGGAGTCTGGAAAAGGTTTTTCAACATAGATTAATGGAATATCCTGAATTGAGAGGGGTCCGTAAGGATCACTGAGCCTAACTCCTGGATCTGCACAGGAACAGCCTGCCCAGGCCAGTGGACACAGCTCTGAGCTGCCAGAGCTCAAGGGAGCGTTCGGACAGTGCTTCCAGACATTGGGACTGGCTTTTGGGTGGTCCTCTGTGGAGCCAGGGGTTGGACTCAGTGATCCTTATGGGCCCCTTTCCATTGGGAAGGATGGAAAGAAGCCCAGGTGGTTCAATGACTCTGTAGGCTTTCTGCCACTTATCCTTCCACTCCACCCTTACTGCAGCTATTTAAAGATTAAAAGGGCAGAGGCAGCTACAAGCAAAGCACGCTGAAAGCGCACAGCCCCGCCCGCCCAGCAAAGGCACGGCGAGCGGAGATTGAGGGTTCGTTCCGCGGTCACCTCCTCACTGCCGCCCCCACAGGGCGGGAAGGCGGGGAGCGGCCCCTCCCCCAGCAACGGGGCGGGGCAGGCATCACCGCCTTCGCGCGCCTGCCCCCGCCCCTCAGAAGCCTAGGCAGGGCTGGAGGGTTTGCAGTGTCAACCTATTAACGGCATTCTCGCCGCTGAGCATTTTGGGAGCTGTAGTCGAGCGCAGAGAGATCGCTACGGGGCTGCAGGAGGCGGGCGGCGGCTGGGGACTACAAATCCCGGCGTGCCCCGCGCCGCGCGGCGTCCAGCCTGTGGCGGCGGGAGGCTGTGCTATGGCGGCGCGTTTGTAACTGCGAGCGGCGGGAGGTCGCGGGCTGAGTGGTGGCGCTGCTACGGCGGCGGTCCTCGGCTTCAGCCATTTGGAATATTACGCTCTGGGGAAGCTTTGAGCGTTTCGAAATCTGCTCGTACGGAGTTCTGTAGGAGTTCCGGAAGGGTTCCTGTGGGGATCCCGAAGTGCCGCCGGGCGGTGATGGTGGTGGGAAGAGGAGTGAGAAGCGAACGCGCAGCTGTTCGTGGAGTTACCGCGGGAAGGTTAAGTGCGAGTTGAAATATGCACAGTAAAGCGATCGTGTTCACGTGGGCATCTCTGCGGCGTTGCATTAGTACGAGGATTTGTGGCTGGACTGCTTCTTATAAACACGATCGGCTGGTTTTAAGAGTGACTTCCCGATGCTGGGAGTCTCTTCCTGTAGATTTTTTTCTTTTATCTGCTTAATTTCTCGGAGCTAAAAACGAGTGAGCATCCACGCCTGATACTTGTGACTGCACCTTTTACTCCCCTGGCGCTACACTATGTTATGTTAATGCTGCATCAGCAATTGCGTTGGAATGTAATTTACAGGATGCCAACTGTTGAAGAGCTGAGTAGTGAACAAAACTTCATTGCACACTGGATGTCCAGTAATTCCCGTGCTGGTGTCTTATTAGATCCTCATTTTACTGGATTAAAAATCACCACAGAAAGTCTGTTACCTGGACCTGAAAGCATCACGGCTTTCCCCGGTGAAGTGCAGAATCTCTTAGACAGCTGTTCTGTAAATGAGGACTCCTTGAGTGAAGAGCAATTGCTTGAGTCTGGCAGCTCCTGTGCACTTCAGCAAAATAGCACTGAAATGTCTTTTCCAGCAACAGCATATAACGTAGGAAGCTCTAAAGCAGACTTCGGCCACAGTGAAAAGGATGCTCAGAATAAATCTGATTGCAATGATCCTCTCTTACAAAAGCTTGAACAGGTAATAAATTTTAAAAATTCTAGAATTTCTTGATATTCATAAATTAAGGTATATTTTGTTCCTGTGCATCCATGGAATGGAACACCTCTCCTATGAGAACAGGCTGAGAGAGCTGGGGCTGTTCAGCCTGGAGAAGAGAAGGCTGTGAGGTGACCTGAGAGCAGCCTTTCAGTATCTAAAGACGAGCTACAGGAAAGAAGGGGACAGATTCTTTAGCGGGGTATGTGAAATTAGAACAAGGAGAAATGGCTTCAAGCTTAAAGAGAGGAGATTTAGGTTGGATTTAAGGAAAGAGGCTTTAACAGTGGGGGTGGTGAGGCACTGGCACAGGTTGCCCAGAGATGTTGTTGATGCCCCATCCCTGGAGACTTTCAGGGTAAGGCTGGATCAGGCCCTGGGCAATCTGATTGAGCTGTGCATGTCTCTGTTTGTTGCAGGGGAGCTGGACAGATAAAAGAAACTTTAAAGGGCCTTTCCAACTCTAAGTAGATTCTAGTATTCTATAATTTTTCATACCTGAAAGTATCTGTAGAACATAAGCTTAAAGAGCAAGCCCTGAGTCAGTTACGTGTCAGTTGTGTAAAGATTAGTGTCCTCCTCATAACATGCTGTTATTGAGAGCCTAGTTGGTTTTCATAGGCACAGATTTCAGTTCAAAATGAAATTATGTTTAGCGCCAGCATATTTGCTCTTAGAATCTTCTTACCTCAAAAGGTGAACATTTCCCAAATTGCAGAAATGAGAGTTCTGTTATCTACTATTTGTGGATTGGTCGTTTAAAAACTAGTGGCTTGGAGTGCACTAGAAACAGCATGAATTTCATTCATCAAAGCACTTTGTATGCAACGTGTCATGTTACAGTTAGATAATGGGATGTCTTTAAAACTTGTTGTCTTGATGATGCTTATGTTTTGGTGCATTCTAAGTATACTTACCCCACAGTACTTTTTTTTTTTTTTTTTTTTTTTTAATTTCTTAAAAAGCTGAAGGAATTGCAACAACAGAAACAGGAACAGCTAAAGAAACAACAGATGGAGCAACTTCAAAGGCTAATGGAAGAACAGCAGAAGTTACTTAGCATGGTATCTGGTCAGACAGCAGTTCTTGGTAAGTTGAGAAATAAAGCATAGGATCACAGAATCATAGAATGGCCTGGGTTGAAAAGGATCACAATGATCATCGGGTTTCAACCCCCTGCTCTGTGCAGGGCTGCCAACCATCAGACCAGGCTGCCCAGAGCCACATCCAGCCCGGCCTTGAATGCCTCCAGGGATGGAGCATCCACAGCCTCCTTGGGCAACCTGTTCCAGTGCATCACCACCCTCTGAGTGGAAAAAATATGTACTTTATTAAACTGAAGAATGTGATCTATTGTTCTTGTTTAAGTTAGAAAGTATATTCAGTGTTCATCTTAAGACTACTTGATTAATCAAAGATAAATGCATCATTTTAATGACTGCTGCGTGGTACTGCTGAAGGAATGCTATCCTTTTGCCAACTTTCATTGTAATTAATGATGGGAGCCCTTGTTTTGAAGAAAATATCGTAAATATAAAAGACAAAATAGGCAGTTGCATTTCTTTCAATACTTCTGATTGCTTTAAGCCATCACTGTATCCAAATGAGGTGGTGCCTCCTTGTTTGTGCTCACAGTACATGTTTTCCCATGTGATGAACTTAATGAGACTGGGGAACTCATCTGTACTGAGAAACAAACATCTGTAACCTGGATCAGTGTTCCAGTCCAATTTAGCTTGTGCACAGGGAGAGGACAGTCCTGGACTGGAAGAAGCCCCCAGAGTTGAGAGAGGGGCATCTTCTCTTGCAGGTAGTATCAGACCCACCTGATTTAAATGATTATATTTCTTTTACGTAGCCTATCTGAGAAACTGAAGTTAGGCTTTGAACAAAAACTAAATTGCCTAATGATTTTTTCTGAGTTGGGAACATGAGGATGGAGGCTGGCTCTTGCCTTCCTGTGTATGTTTATTTTTGTTCCTGTGAAACACTGGTTTGTTTGAAGGCTGTACTCTAATGGCTGAAAGTAAAAAGCTA